TCTTATGCATACAAGGCAAGCACTCTACCACTGAGTCACCAATTGACAATTCTTTTTGATTCTGAACAAACTTCTCTTTATGCATTTATTTTCTTTTTGTATTTTACATTTATTTCTTCATATTTGTATATTTCCCTTCTCAAATTGTTTGGGCTATTTATAAAGAGAAATGAATTAATTTCCAATCATGTTTGTATTGTTTTTACCAAGTCATCTATCTTAAAAAATTTTTTTAATCCAGATGTATTTTTATATAACCCAAGTAATTTCTATGAATGCTTTTGTTGCCTTATGTTTAGGATGTAGCTGTTCTCTCTGAAGACAGTCTAGTCATTTTGTCTAGTTTTCCTATAGCTTGATATTTTTCTTTTTTGATAATATATGGATTGAGGTGAAGACTTAGATTTTTTTTCTGCAAAATTACTAATTGAACCATTGTCATTTGTTGAATTGTTCTACCCTTTCCTGTATTGTGTATTTAATACAAAACCATATACATTTTGTCATCTTGCTCTTGAATCACTTAAATATCTTTTCTGTCCTTTTAAACACATTAAAAAATTCTTTAATGGTATTAGAAACATCAGTGTTCCCAGAGCTAGAGATTTTAAGCATTTTGAAGGTAGAAATAATGTCTAAGTCACATTTCATTTCTTTAACAAGAATTAAAATTTGTATTTAATGACTGCTAAAATTTATCACTATACAACTTTTATTAGCTCCTGTTAATACAATCTCTAGTGGGGTATCCTAGTTTAATTCTTTTTTTCCAGGATAAAAACTGCAATTATGCAGTGAAACTGCTCAGAGCAAGGAAACCCCTAGGATATGGGGACATGCTGGACCTCTTTCAGGTGTGTGAAAGTGCATCATTCGACCTCACAGTTATATAATTTAGAAATACAATATATAGCAATCACACAGTGTTACTCTATTAAATACTTGTTAAAGATGCCAGGCATCAGTGGTGGCTCACGCCTGTAATCCTAAGTACACCGGATACTGATATCTGAAAATTGCAATTTGAAGCCAGCCAGGGCAAGAAAGTCCATGAGATCTTATCTCTAATTAATCAACAACAACCAGAAGTGGAGCTGTTGCTCAGTGATAAGAGTACTAGCTTTGAGCCAAAAAGCTCAGGGACAGTGCCAGGCCTGAGTTCAAGCCCCAAGACTGGCACACACATGCACACGCATACACACAAGTGCCCACCTGCACACACACACACACACACACACAGTTATATTTAGTAAGGCACTTAAGTAGGAGATAAACAGTTTTTCTTTCCAAGACCTATTTTATATTTTAATGGAAATACAAGTTTTAATTAGAAAGTTTTAATGAGAAACGCTCAATCCTTTTCTCTTTTTGTTCTGGAATGATACATAAAATAGTTAAGGTCCAATGTCTTTAGATTGCTGCACAGCATTTGACTTCACAATCTCTACCACAGGAAGTATTTACATTAAGTAGTGTATCACAATTATGGTAGACAGAGAGTGCTCATCTCTGTATATAATAAAAACGTCAGATTTATTTCCACTTCCTAGGACAATTGTTCCTATTTTTTAAAAAAATCAGTAACATTTTCTTTCTTATGGTTTTTTTTTCAGTGACTGAGCTGTGATCAAGAGACAATACATATAATTTTTTAATTGCTTGGAAAGATGTAGAATAAGTAAATTATTGTATTGATAATTATGGATTTTATATAAAACTTCCTTTTGATCATTATATTCTCATGTAAATTGGAGGAGAAAAGTGGGAAGAGATGATGTGTTTGATGTTAAAGATTTAAAAGATTATTTTAATTGCTATCTTAAATTTATTTCAGCTTGATTGACTTGACTGTAATAGGAAGGTACAAAGCATTTCACTATGACTCATTTCACAGATTTTAAAGTGTACAGTTGTATTTTTTTTAACCTGTAACATCCCTTCATTTGGTTTACATCTTAAAATTGATGACTTGAAGGCAGTCACTGTAGACCCAGATGCTAGTCTGGTTTTCTTTTTGCTGTGTGTGAATTTGTTCATAGTTGTTCATGTTACTATCACATCAGTTAAGTTGGATGAGTTGTTGACATCAAGTAAGTTAAATTTAATTACTAATGAAAATCTCACCTAGGCAGGATACGTCATTATCTTAGAAGAAATCTCAAAGACAAAGTAGTCTTCATTGAAATGGCATATCCCAAATGGGCTTATGGTCTAGAGGATGAAAGTTGGAGGAAAATGTTAGGTGATGACAGATCCTTGAGTCATTGCTTAGTTGGCATTTATCTCTTTTTTTTTTTTTTATATTTCAGAGATATCTTAAAATCACTGACATCTTTGGCTTAAGAAAATAAATATACTATTTTTCCTTTTATAACCTTTCCATAATTCCTTGAAAACTTTGAACAGACAACTTTATAGGTTGTAGATTTTTTTTTTTTTGTCAGTTGTGGGCCTTGAACTCTGGGCCTGGGCGCTGTCCCTGCACTCTTTAGCTCAAGGTGAGCACTCTACCACATGAGCCACAGAGCCACTTCCGGTTTTCTGGTGGTTTCTTGGAGATAACAGTCTCACAGCCTCTTCCTGCCCAGGCTGGCTTTGAACCAAGATCCTCAGATCTCAGCCTCCTGAGTAGCTAGGATTACAGGTGTGAGCCACCAGCACCTGGCTTAAATTGTAGATTTTTGAGTCCTCTTTTAGCTTCCTTATCATCAGGATTTTTTTGGCGGGGGAGGGGGTCCGGTCGAGGGGCCTGAACTCTGGGTCTGGGCGCTGTCCCTCAGCTCTTCAGCTCAAGGCTAGCGCTCTACCACTTGAGCCACAGCGCCACTTCCGGCTTTTTTCTTTTTGCTTATGTGGTGCTGAGGAATCAAACCCAGGGCCTCGAGCATACAAGGCAAGCACTCTACCACTGAGCCACCTTCCCAGCCCCTCATCAGGATATTTCTAAAAGAGTGACATCACAGTGTTTGTTATAGGAAGAATAGTAAACCAAGAACTTGAAGACATGGTTTCAAATTCTGGCTTTACCATCTGCTCACAGCTACAAATTGCACCTTATATGAAATGAGATTATTGTGATGCTCAAATGAGAGTATATATTGATATCATATGAATGATAAATGCATCTTGTTACTAAGAAGAACTTTTAATTTTCTTTAATGTTTAATAATTAGGAATGCTCATCAGAGATAGGGGTACCCTCCAACTTCATTGATTCTGGCAGAAATGAAGATGATAGGATAATTTATTGCCTTATTAAATTATTTTTATGGTCACATCAGTATTTTGAGACATTGTTATAGTAATTTGTGTTTCTAGATTTAAATAAAAATGTTTGCACAGCTGGGCACTGGTGGCTTATGCCTGTAATCCTATCTACTCAGGAGGCTGAGATCTGAGGACTGCAGTTTGAAGCCAAACCGGGCAGGAAAGTCTGTAAGATTCTCATCTCCAATTAATCACAGAAAAAGCCAGAAGTGGCACTGTGCCTCAAATGGTACAGTGCTAGCCTTGAGCAAATAGGAGCTCAAGGACAGCACCCAAGTCCAGAATTTGAGCCCCAGGACTGCCTCCCCCTTAAAAAAAATATTCACCCAGAAGAAAGCAAAGCAGGGGAACCTGTTTTCCAGACACATTTGCCATATATTAACTTTGCTAAAGTAGTCATTTATGCTGGTATAATGAGGGACTTTGTAGAGAATACTGTAGGAAGTTATAAACTTACTTTACCATACTATAAAGAATACATTGGGCCAGAGGCTGATGGCTCACACCTGAAATACTACTAGCTACTCAGGAGTCTGAGATCTGAGGATCATGATTCGAAGCCAGCCTGAGCAGAAAAGTCCATGAGATTCTTATCACCAATGAACTACTCAAAAAAAGCTGGAAGTGATGCTATAGCTCAAGTGGTAGAGTCCTAGCCTTGAGCACAAAGAGGCTCAGGGACAGTGCCTAGGCCCTGAGTTTAAGCCCTGGGACCAGCCCTCCCCACCACCCCTCCAAAAAAAGAATACATTAGGAAAAGAAAAGTGGGATTTAAATAGTAAAATTAATGTTAACATTGGCTTTACACTTTTAATGGTGATTCTGGATGCGTTTCTGTCAATTTCTCTTGAAAAATTCTCCAAGACGTGGAGTTACATGCATATCTTGCCTTAAAACACAATTGATGAATTTTGTAGCCTTGAAAACCAATATCTAGTTCTTAAGTTTAGTATTCTCTTAGAAGTTCTTGTTATATTTTCAAATTCTCTGAAGATGACAAATATGTCTTACTCATCTTTGTATATCTTTTCAGTAAGTATATATTGATTTAATTTTATTTTATAAATTTAATGTGTGTGATTTAGTTTGTACATTTTTTTAACCTGTTACATTTTTGTTGCCACTTCAAAACTTGTGACTTGGTAGAAAAAGTTCAATTAAGGTTTGAAATGACAAATGTATATCCAGTAATTTAAAAATATTCTTTTAGTAATAGGAAGAATGCTATTGTTTATTATAAAATACATTTCTTGAAGAAGAAATTAGAGACACACAAATTTAAGACAGAATAAAATTGTAAGGCATTTCTGAATACTTTCTCACAAGTGTGGTGGGAATGATGTGTATTCTGTTTTTAATTACTTTTCTTGCTCCAGAGTATGAATTCGTGTTTCCTGTCTTCTTAAACAACATAAAGGAATAGTGTTCTCTGAACTTGGGAGAATCTTTGGCTTTAAAAAGTTTGTAGCAAAAGATGGAGAAGAGCCAAAAGACAGAATGTTGGGTGGAAGGCATGGGAAAGGTGTAAATGGGTAGAGTAAATAGGTAGAGTCTATATTCTCTACCTGAAGTATTTTAATTCTTACTTGATTTTTATTTTGGTATTATTTTGCATAAATTGATTTTATTTAGATTATCATTGGTTATAATTGTCATTGGTTATAATTGTATTAAATATATTCATATGTATGAGTTAAATATATTCAGTTATTTTCTATGTGTTCTGAATAAAGCATTGAAAGAGAACAGCTCAGAAGTTGTACAGCCTTTCCTAATGGGTTGTGGAACCAAAGAACCGAAGATCACTCAGCTGTGTTTGGCCGCCATTCAGAGACTTATGTCACATGAAGTGGTGTCTGAGGTAATATAGAGTTTATCTGAGTTGAATGTCTTTAGGCAAATCGGTAGGTTTCACCTGGAAGAAAGAAACATCTGATCTTTAATATAAGACATTTTATGAGCAGTAACGTGCTTGAAGACAACAGCTTAAAGTATTGTCAGTGTATCTTCACTAAACACAAATAATGAATAAAAGATAAGTACACTTTGTCAAGTCTCTTGTAATCTAAGAAGTCAGTTTAGTAATAAGAGTAGGTAATTTTAGAATCAAGCAAATTTTCAATATCACTCAATAGTTAATATAAATCATAAGTATTTATGAAAGGAGGGTTAAGAATGACTTCTAGATTTTTCTGAAGTGACATGTTGATGATTAAGTTAAATGTGTTGTTCGTATCTAAACTGATGATAGTCAACAAAGAATATATGACCATGAGCATACATTTTGCTTTTTATGGTTTTACCTTAATTTCATACTCCATGGAATATTATAGTAGAAGTGGTTTTCTTACCCTTGGTCTAGCATGGTAAGGAATGGGTTACTAACCTCGGTTACATTTTGTTAACATTTTGTGTTGCTGATGAAGTACTAAGAAATAGTAAACTCATAGTTAGAGTGTGCCACTGTTCTTATCTAGATGTAAAAGCTCAATGTTCCTAAAGAAAAGAGCTTTGATTTTGAGTGGGTGGTTAAGGCCCACATATTACTATTTGATATAAAGAAATTTCCCCTCTATTAGAGGGGAAAATTAGTCTCAAATTTGTTCAGAGATATGCTTCAATGATAAATTTAAAAATATATGTTTTGTTACTAAGATCACAAAATTCTTGGTGAGGTAAGATTTTTATACCTTTTATAAGACCTAAACACCTATATTTAATTTTGACAATAATTATTTTGCAGACTGCCGCTGGAAATATAATTAATATGCTTTGGCAGCTAATGGAAAATAGTCTTGAAGAACTGAAGCTACTTCAAACAGTTCTTGTTCTTTTAACAACCAATACAGTAGTTCATGATGAGGCACTTTCTAAGGTAGGAAACATGTTTGCTTTGAGACAGCATTTGGAAAAAGCTGGCTGAAAGAGACTAGCGTTGTACGTACAATTGGAACCACAAGCAACTTCCCTATAGATATTGTGATCAGCAGTGTACTAAAATAACCATCTGTTCCTTATTTTCTGCAGATTAGAGCTGAAGTCTTGTTAGGGTGTTTAAGCAGGACTCAGTGACTGTTGCTGCTGAAGTAGAAAAGTAGGAATAGAGGAAGAGGAAGTAAGAGGAAAAAATATGTTGTGTGGTATTGCCTTGGGTATGTTGAATTCCCTATGATAATTCTCCCTTCTCCTATTTAGGGAGAAATAAAAACTGATTAAGGTTTTATTTCAATATGTTAGCTAAATAAAAATGAGATATTTAGGAATTATAATCAAGTATAAAGAAATAATATAAAACTGTAAGCTGTATAACCAATATGTCTTTTTGTTGAGATTTAAGAGTAACAATGGTACCCTTAAAATTTTAATGTACGTTCAACCAGGTTTGGTGTCTCAAGCCTGTAATCTTAGTTTCTTAGGAGGCAGAGCTCAGGAGATTGCAGTTGGTTCCAAGTTAACCTGGACATAATGAGTTCAGGAGACTCCCATCTTGGTCAGTGACTGGGCACAGTAGTTTCCACTTATTACCCTAGTGACATAGGGAAGTACAAGGATCCCAGAACAAGCTGGCCTGGGCATAAATCAAGACCCTACCTTGATAATATCCAAATGCAAAAGGAGATTGCAAAAAAGCAGTAGAGATTCTGCCTAGCAAGCATAAGAACCTGGGTTACCTCCAGTACCACTGTGGGGAAAAATAACTGATTTTCAAACTGTGAAAGTTTAGAACTGCTCATAGGAGAAGATCTACATGATTTTGAGATAGACAAAGATTTAATAGGGTACAAAAATCCATGAACCATAAAAGAAGTCACATAATGGATAAAAATGTAAATGTACACCTGACAAAGGACATGTATGGAAACCCATAGACAATTTTAGCAAAGGAAGATATTCAGATGGCAAACAGCTGAAAAGCGTGTCAGAATCATAACATTAATACAGTGAAGTAAAAATCACAAGAAATTATCATTACATATCCACTGCAGTAGTTTAAATTTAAAGACTGACCATATCAAGTACTGTTAAGAGTGGAATAGTTCTGAACTTACAGATAGTCTTGGCAGTATTACAAAATTGTAACTCCAGTTTGGAAACAGGCAGTTTCCTAAAGAGTTGAACCTATATTACCTGTGGCTCAGCTGTTTCACTCCTAACTATTTACCCAGTGTGAATAGAAACATGACATCAAAGAAACTTACATGTGAATGTTCATAGCATCTTTAGTCACATTAGTCCTGAACTGAAAATGACTCAAATGTCCACCAATAGTTAAATAGTTAAGCAAAGTGTGGTATCCTCAAACCATGACATTTCCTCAGTAATAAAAGGGAACAAATTACGGGTATACTGCACAACATGTGAATTTTACAAAGTACAAGAGGCTGGACCCCAGAAGTCTTACTCTGGATTAATCTGTGCTTATAACATTGTAGATGATGCTGGGTTATCTATAGTGAAAAACACAGGGCTGGGAAGGTGGCTCAGTGGTAGAGTAGTTGCCTCACATGCATGAGGCCCTGGGTTCGATTCCTCAGCACCACTTAAACAGAAAAAGCTGGAAGTGGCCCTCTGGCTCAAGTGGTAGAGCGCTAGCCTTGAGCTTAATAGCTGAGGGACAGCATCCAGGCCCAGAATTCAAGCCCCACAACTGACAAAAAAAAAAAAAACCCACATAGTTACTGTGGCCTAGATTGGGAAGAAATGAACCACATAGGTGGGGAAACTTTGGGAGCGATGAAATGTTCTGAATCTTAATTGTGAGCAGTTTCATGGGCTGATATATATATAAATCAGAATTCACCAGATTATACATTTGTAAGGGATACAATTTATTGATTGAAAATATATCTTAATAAAGTTAATTTAAAGAGAAAAAGGAATGATTCCCTTTTAAAACATCATATTCTGATTTATTTATATTCTTAGCAACTTTTTTTTTTTTGGGGGGGGGCGGTCCAGTCGTGGGGCCTGAACTCTGGTCCTGGGTGCTGTCCCTCAGCTCAAGGCTAGCGCTCTACCACTTGAGCCACAGCGCCACTTCCGGCTTTTTTCTTTTTGCTTATGTGGTGCTGAGGAATCAAACCCAGGGCCTCATGAGTGCAAGGCAAGCGCTCTACCACTGAGCCACCTTCCCAGCTCATTCGTAGCAACTTTTACAGTATTTCTCCAAATAATTTGATAATACAACAGACTTACTTGCAAAGCAAGTCATTCTGGGCAAGTGTAAAGTATGACATATTATTATGTGCACATTCAAAGATCTAGATTTTAAAAGTATATATTTCAAATTACTTTAGCTCATTTTATGTGTAGCTAGCTATGTATTAAGAGTTGGAATTACCTTAAAATTTGAGTATACTTGTAGTTTTGTGAAAAGTATGAAGTTTTCGTATCAGGGTAAAACAACCTAGCACAAATTATTAGAGATCACACAAGATGAAGTTAGTAGCCACATTCTTCAGTCTCACTTCACACTAATCAGACTTGTTTTTCCAGGCAATTGTTCTTTGTTTTCGACTACACTTCACAAAAGATAATATTACAAATAACACAGCTGCTGCTACAGTTCGACAGGTTGTCACTGTTGTCTTTGAGAGAATGGTTGCTGAAGATGAACGGCATCGAGGTAAAGCAGTGAAGTTGATTCCTTTGGATTTTGCTTGGCATTTTCACATGCACCATTTCATTTTAATTCATATCACCCTAAGAAGTAAATTATTGGCTGGAGGCTGGTGGTTCAAGTCTTACCAGTCATAGCTATATAGAAGACTAAGATTGGGACCATCACAGTGCTAAGCCAGCCTGGGCAGTAAAATCCACTAGACTCTGTCTCTGTGAAAGGGAAGCTGGATGCAGTTTTGAACTCCTGTGATCCCAGTAGTGATAGAAAGATTAAAAGTATGCAGATCTCAGGCCAAGTGTGTCCCCAGGCCTGAAGCAAGACTTTATGCTAAATACCAGTGAAAAATAGGGCTAGAAGCATGGCTCAGTGGTATCACATGTAAAGCCCTGAGCTCAAACCACTAGTACTACCAAAAATAATACTTACTTTTTAGATATGTTTCTGAGTGTGCAAAATTTCATATAGAAATGATAACACCACATTTATAAAGCTAATACTGTATTTTGTCTCGAGCCAAGCATTGTATTAAGAGGTTTTTATGTTATTTATCTACATAGTTTAGGTTTTAATAGTTGGTTTTTATGGCTGTTTTGTAATTTCAAAGATTAGTTTCCTATTGGACATTAACATATAAGACTTTGGATTCTCATTCAAAGATACTAGGCTTGTTAAAGTGCATGTAAGCAAATAAGTGACTTTTATCACATTTTGTATAAAATTTACTGTTTCCTTTGGGGCTGATGTTCTGAAATTATAATTAGCATTTATAAACATTTCAGCAAGTATATGTTTTAAATAACTTGTGTGTGTGGAAGCCACTATGAACTCAAACGTGTTCTATCCTGATTGCAGATATCATAGAGCAACCAGTGCTGGTCCAAGGGAATAGTAACAGGAGGTCGGTCAGCACCCTGAAACCTTGTGCTAAAGATGCATACATGCTCTTCCAGGTATTTCAGTGGATAAAAGTACTTTCTATCATGGAGTACATTTTTGTGTAGATTTTTTATTTTAGAATTTTATGTCTAATTTAAGTTTTTAGTACAGAAAGCTTTAAAATAGTTCTGTATAACTAATGTGCTAAAGTGTTATGACTCATTTTAAGAAAATGAAATGAAATTAAATAAACCCAGAATTAGAATTTAGATCTGGGGGCTAAGAGTTTAGCTCAGCGGAACAGTGCCTGCCTGGTTAGTGCAAGGCCCTTAGTTCGGTCCTCAGCTCTGGTAGAGAAAAAAAACAAAAAACAAAAAAACAACTATAGATCTGTTAGGGATGCCTAGTTACTGGGGGGAAAATATATTTTTTTAAATGATCTTGGAGCTTGAACTCAGGGCCTAGGTGCTGTCCCTGAGATATTTTGCCTAAGGCTCTACCACTTTGAACCATAGTGCCATTTCCAGTTTTCTGGCGGTTAATTGGACATAAGAATCTCATGAGACTTTCCTGACTGGGCTGGCTTTGAATTACAGTCCTCAGATTTCAGCCTCCTGAGTAGCTAGGATTACAGACATGAGCTACCAGTGCCCAGCTAAAATAGCACTCCTTCCTTCCTTCCTTCCAAATAGCACTCACTCCTTCCTTCCTTCCTTCCTTCCTTCCTTCCTTCCTTCCTTCCTTCCTTCCTTCCTTCCTTCCTTCCTTCCTTCCTTCCTTCCTTCCTCCCTCCCTCCCTCCCTCCCTCCATCTCCTTCTCCCTCCCCCTCTCCCTCTCTTCTCTCTCCCTTTCCTCCTCCCCCTCCCCCTTAACCCCACCTCTCTGTTGTGGGCCTTGAACTCTAGGCCTGGGTGCTGCTTGAGCCGCAGTGCCACTTCTGACCTTTTCTGTTTATGGGGTCCTGAGGGATTGAACCCAGGGCCTCATGCATGCAAGGCAAGCACTACCGCTGAGCCACCTTCCCAGCCTCAGCACATTTCTTTAACAAGGAAAATTTAACCAATAAACCTGTGCCTACTTAATTTGATACACAAATACCTGCTTTTTTATGTTTTGGCATGAATAAATAATTTTAAGTGATTTTTTTTTTCCTATTTAAAATTTTTATTTGTGTATGCTGGTCCTGGGGCTTAAATTTAGTGCCTGGGTTCTGTCCCTGAGCTTTTTTGCTCAAGGCTAGTGTCCAGTCATTTAAGCCACAGCTCTACTTCCAGCTTGTTGGTGGTTAATTGGACATAAGAGTCTCACAACTTTCCTACCTGGGCTGACTTTGAACCATGATCCTCAAATTTCAGCCTCCTGAGTATCTAAGATTACAGACATGAGCCACTGACACCCAGCAGTGATTATTTACTTATATAATTAATCTGTACCAAACTTTTATTAATTTGGATTAAAAGGTTTTTTATTGAAAGACCATTAATCATTTACTTCTCTACTGCATATTGTCTATAGTTCTGTAATTCTTAGAAGTCTGTTTATATAATTTATCAAATGTATAACTTGTCAAAACTTGAATTATTAATCCTTTGTTTCTAAGGAATTGCGATTGTCTTTTAAATTGATGAATTGTGAGTTTTAAAAGTACATTTCCTCTCAGCATATGAAGCTGTTCAATTTTATTTTCCTAGGACCTCTGTCAGTTGGTTAATGCCGATGCCCCTTACTGGCTGGTGGGCATGACAGAAATGACTCGGACATTTGGCCTGGAGTTGCTTGAATCAGTCCTTAATGATTTTCCCCAAGTCTTTTTACAAGTAAGCCAATTGATACTATCTCGTAACAAAATTAACCTTCAAACTCCTGCAAGTATTTTTCAAGAAAGCAGCATGAATTTTTGTTCAGACTTTAGACCTACGATAATTTATTAGGGTATCTTGTGTTTTCCTAGTGCCCCAATTTTGAAACTTTTAACATTAGAATAAAACACTAAAGACTTACTTATTCAGTCTTATTTATTTACTCTATGGGTCATACCATATTTATGAAGGAAATATAGTATCTGAGCTATTTTCATACTATAAAAGCCTAAAAAAGTATGATTTTAGTGTTGACATATAAGTATATGTTTTTAGATTACTTAAATGGCAATTAGTAGCCAATGATAATAAATTTAGTCTGCAATACAAAATACCCTCAAAATAGTACTGCCAAAAAATTAGATGATTAAAATAACAAGATAAAATATTTGAAGTTAATCATTAAAATAAAAGGTAGGACTTACATTATCAGTGAAGTGAGACTACTTTTAGCTAATAAAGATAGGAATAGTTTAATGAGTCTTTCTGACTAATATACATTGATTACAAATATAGTTTCTGTATCCTTTCTAAAATTACTTGTAAAATAATGTTTGTTTCTCATTGCATCTTTTATCAGCGCATTGTGTTCTGTTCAAGCAATCCAAGTTGAACAACAGAACTTTTAGTTAATTATCAAACTTGTGTGAGTAGAATTATTTCCAAAATAAAATCAGTGAGTTAGGTATCTTATTATACTTTATTAAGTTTCTACTTCTAAACTGGCTGTCTGAAAAGTATTTTGTTTGATTGTATTTGTTTAATCTGTTTTTCTTCTTTGTTTTAATTTTTGTTTTGTTTGTTTGTTGTTGATTATGGTTATGTGAACTCAGGGTGTGGGTACTGTCTCTGAGTTCACATTTTGCTGAAGGCTAGCACTCTACCACTTTGAGCCACAGCTCCACTTCTGGTTTTTGAGTGGTTAATTAGAGGTAAGAATCTCAAGGGGACTTTTCTGCCTGAGATGGCTTCAAACAATGATCCTCAGATCTCAGCTTCCTGAGTGGCTAGGATTATAGGCATGAGCCACCAGTGCCCAGCTGTTCTTTGTTTTTAATTACAAATATCCCACTAAAAGTTACTAGTAACATACCAATTATGCGATTCTAAAATCACTAGTAAATCTCTTTTATTGTTGTTTTATTTATAGTTATGTTATTTGTTTTTGTTGTTGTTGTTGTTGTTTGGTACTGGGGATCGAACCCAGGATAGCACTTTGCCACTGAGCTAACATCCCAGTGCAAGTCTTTTTTTTTTAAACTAATTTTTTATTATGATTAAGTGATTACATAAATTTTACAAATTTCACAGTATTGTGAGATAGTGATACTTAAAGTCACAAACACATTCTAACCTTCATGAGGCAAATTGTCATTATCGTGGTCTATAAAGTTTGTGAATTCTATGAGCTTTGACAATACAGCTATTTCTTCCACATCTGGTGATATGTACATTTCTTTCCTTTTGGTTAGTGTAAGCTGTTCCCTCTTTCCCTCTCATTCCCTCCCTCCCATCACTGCCCTTGAATCGCTTAGTTCGTTTTCATCAATGTCTATTGCAGCTGATGGGAACCTCTGTTGTATGTTTTCCTGTTTCGCTCTATTTCTGTGTCCTCCTCCCAGCTTCTTAGAGTTGTGTGCATATATATATATACACACATCATATATATGGTGTCATTTAGTAATGATGCAACAAAATGAGTGGTGGTCCTTTGTTTCTCGAGTCCTGTTTACTTTATTATATCTCCTTGCATTTTGGATTTAACATCCACATATCAGGGAGACCATGTGCCATTTTGTCTCTTTGCTATTGGCTTACCTTGCTCAATTTTTTTCTAGTTTATCCATTTCCCTGCGAATGCCATTATTTTGTCCTTTCTAATGGCTGTATAATATTCCATTGTATATAGGCACCACAATTTTTTGATCCACTCATCAGAGGTGGGGCATCTGTGTTGCTTCCATATCTTCGCTATTGAGAACAGTCCAACCCAAGTCTTTTTAAAATGTATGTTATTTTTAATACTTTTAAGCTGGGTACAGGTGACTCACACTTGTAATCCTAGCTAGTAAAGAGACAGATATGATGATTATACTTCAAAGAAAAACATATCCAAGAGACTCTTATTTCCAAAAACCAGCAAAAAGCTAGGATGGAGGAATGGCTCAAGTGATATAGCACCAGCCTTGAACTAAAAAAGCAAAAAGAGAGTGCAAGGCTCTGAGTTCAAGCCCCAATACTGGTATGTGCACACACACACACACACACACACACACACACACACACACACACACACACACAAATTTCTAGTATTACTGATTATAATTTTGTTTTTAGATCATCTAAGCCATGCAGATTTCAAAATTGTGTGTAAATTGTAAAAAATGAAAAATAAAAACTTATCAAGTTATGCTATTGATATTTATTATGGGAAGCTATTTGCTAGTGAAACTGCTTTTGAAGTATTAAATACAAACTTAATAGAAATTGCTTTTTTTTCCTTTGCAAATAGCACCAGGAATTTAGTTTCCTCCTCAAGGAAAGGGTGTGTCCTCTTGTGATAAAGCTCTTTTCTCCAAATATAAAGTTCAGACAAGGTTCCAGCACTTCATCTTCTCCAGCACCAGTTGAAAAGCCGTATTTTCCTATCTGCATGCGTTTGTTACGGGTAGTATCGGTTCTGATCAAGCAGTTTTACAGTCTTTTGGTGAGTGCTAATTTCCATATGTAATTGTTACAGTATGTGTTAGTTTCTTCTCACGTGTTAGTTTCTACCTAACATGAATAAGTGAGAAAAGATTATTTTGGTGCAGTTTTGGAAATTTTATTCCATGGTTGGTTTGTTCCATTGTTCTGGGAAACAGCATGCAGCCAAGGTTGCTTACCTGCTAAGAGGTGAGGAAGCAGAGTGTCAGAATTCCTATTCGATGATACCACACTATTGGATGGTGCCACCCACATTCAGGGCAGGTCCCACTCCTCTTAGTTAACAAAGACCATAACTAGACTCTTAATCTCTTAGAGGGTATGTTTTACTGTCTTGTAAGTTCTACTTAACCCAATCAAGTTGACAGCTGGGATTGTCTATTGTGTAATACTTTTTAATCTATAACAAAATTTATTGACCTATGAATTTTTTTGGACATCAAATAAGTCTTGTTACTGTTGCATGAATTTTTATTGTACAGATACTCTAAATGTTAATTTATATAATACTAAAAGTCAACCTTGTTAGTATTGCCACACATGTATCAGAAGAGATTTGGGCTATTGAGAAACTGTCAGACTTCTAATGACAGATACAACTTTTCTAAAATTTTAACTTTGGTCTGAAAGTTTAGTTATTAATTGGCAACAAATACTGTCAATTGTTCCCGTAAGTGACTGGTTTATGCTATTGCTACTCAGGACCTGAACACCATCCCTTAGCTTTTTCCACTCAACACTGGCCCTCTACTACTTAAGCCATAGTTATACTTCTGGCCTTTTGGTGGTTAATTGGAAATAAGTCTTACTGACTTTCCAGCCCAGGGTGGCTCCAAACTCTGATCCTCAGATCTCAGCCTCCTGAGTAGCTAAGATTCCAGGTATGACCCACCATCACTGGTGACAATATTCTTGAGAAATTGTCTACAGTATACTCATAAAGAGTGTAAAGAGTCAAGGTCTACCATTTTCTTTTCCACTTCACGTGGTGTTCTGTATGAGGAAAAGACAGCAAATTAGTTTACAGCTTTGCTTTTCTTCTAGCAAAAAAAGTTTGATACATAGAAAAAGTGCTTCATATGTTTACCACTTTTGTCACCAAAATAATTAAAAGATATGTACTTAAGGCCAGGGGAATGGGTTGTATCTATAATCTCAGCTACTTGGGAATTGGAGATTGAGGGCAGTCCAAGTGAAACATTGGTGAGACTCCCTCACCTCAACAAAACAAGCTAAGGATGGTGATGTGTGTTCATGTACTCCACTGCTGGGAGGCATATGATCTGAGGCTAGCCTTGTGCAAAAATGTGAGACCTTATCTGAAACATAACTAAAGCAAAAAAGGGGCTGTGGATATGATTTAAGTGGTAGAGCACTTCCCACCAAGTGGGAGGTGTGAGTCACTGAATTCAAATCCCAGAACTTAAAAAATTACTGGTTTGTTTGTGGCACCAACAGCAAGAATAAAATAATAATAACAAGTTATAATTGATTTCTTTGATTGAAAAAATATAACAAAGTCCTGTACTTTGTAGGTAACTGAGTGTGAGATATTTCTGTCACTTCTGGTGAAATTCCTGGATGCTGATAAGCCACAGTGGCTGCGAGCTGTTGCAGTGGAATCGATACATAGACTCTGTGTGCAGCCTCAGCTACTAAGGTAACCTTCAGTGGTGGTTTATAAAGTAGTTAGGCCAGGAAAGTAGCAGAGGGGAGTAAGCTGGTAGCAAGGGTTTGTTTGTACATTCCCAAATTTTAGTGTTTCATTTTATTAAAGAAAAATTGTATATTGTATGTACATGAAGAGGCAAGGTGGAGGTATGAAAAAGAACTGGGAGGTAAACTATGTGTTTAGTGATGGCCATTAATCTGAATTTACTGAGTTAACAGAGTGTGTGTGTGTGTGTGTGTGTGTGTGTGTGTGTGTGTGTGTGTGTGTGTGTGTGTGTGTGTGTGTGTGTGTGTGTGTGTGTGTGTGTGTGTGTGTGTGTGTGTGTGTGTGTGTGTGGTGTATTGAAATCTTTACTTCAACATTAACCTTTGTCTAAATTAGCAAAACTATTTAGGTGTGAAGAAGAATCTTTGATGATGTCATTGAAACTATTATAGAAACATTCCTTGCTATGAAACAGAGTGTTTTTCCTAGAAACATTTATATTTATTTTATAGGTCATTTTGTCAGTCATATGATATGAAACAGCATTCTACCAAGGTTTTTCGTGATATCGTGAATGCACTGGGCTCTTTCATCCAGTCCCTGTTTCTTGTCCCTCCTACTGGAAATCCTGCTACAACGAACCAAGCTGGTAAAAGGGCTTATTCCTAATCTGTTTTATATTCCATTGTCATTTATAACAGTCACTATTCTGAGAGGATATTTTCTAGAAATCTTGTGATCAGAGAAATTAGGATTATTTTAATACAATGATAGTAAATATTTATACTTAAAGAATAATTTGAGTTGGATATTTGGTGGCTCGCTCCTGTAATCCTGGTTGCTCAGCAGGCTGACATTTGAGGATCAAGATTCAAAGCTAAAATAGGTAGACAAATCCAAGAGACTTCTATCTCCTATCTCTAATCAACCAAAAGAGCTAGAAGTTGAAATATAGCTCATGATAGAGTGCCAGTCTTGAGTGAAAAAGTAGAGAAAGAGTTGAGAGATCCTGAGTTCAAGCCCCAGTTCCAGAAAAAAAAAAAAAAATTATCTCATTGTGGCAACTATTTCCTTCTCTGGTGTATCCAGTCAGATAAGGACAAAAGTTAAGATAGTAGTCTTCATTATAGAAAAATCATTTGATTCCTTTGTAGAGTCTAACGGGTTACTACCTTAAGAGGTCTGCTAGGCCCTCAACTAAAGATGGTTGGTTGACATTGATTCAGTTTGGAATGAGTGTTTAGTTTTCTTTTCTCTTTGTTCTCTGTCACTATGTATAGTTTCACTGATGGCCTTTATATTTTTTATTCCCCAACTTTAAAGTTAAAAAAAATCTAAATGAAAGTATAATAAAAATTGGTATTTTTACCTACTGTAATAGCACTTATATATAACAAAAAATGGTGTTTAGGAAGATAGATCCTGTGGTAGTCAAAAGATGATTAACAAATTTCATTTATAGATGTAACCTGTAACTGGCTGTCTGAATATTATTCATTTGTAATCAAATATAAATTGATGTCTGCTTTTCTCCCTATCTAACAGGAAACAACAACTCAGGCGGCCCAGCCTCTGTGCCAGCCAACTCAGGAATGGTGGGGATTGGCGGAGGGGTTACTTTGCTACCTGCATTTGAGTACAGGGGAACGTGGATACCTATTCTGACCATTACAGTTCAAGGCAGTGCTAAAGCCACATAGTAAGTAGTAGTGACCTTATTTATAATGAATGAAATCCGTAAAATTTTAGAGCTCATTTTTATTTGTGATATTTTGAGAATTTTATTTAGGACTAGGTTAGCTTTTTTTTTGTTATTTGTATACTATTAGTATTATGAAACAAAATGGGATTTCTTTACCTGCAAACAGATTTATCTATCATATATAGCTTTTTGATTAAGTATATGCCTTGACTTCAGATAACTTATGGACTCAGATCTAACAGCTGAGGTACCTTCAGTGAATTAATATTTATTTTACTCATTTTTCTCACCTATAAAATAGAAGTAATATCTAACCTTCAGGCCTCTGTGAGAAAACTTATTTCAAATATTCAGTCATACTATTGGAGGCTTTAGCTTTTTACTATAAAAGTGTTTAATGAGTTCATAAATGTTTGTTTTGAATTGTCGTTAGTCATTTCACCTTAACATACACATATTCAGCAACTATTGCTGAATTTTCTGAAGTCTTGGTATAATAAGTACATTTTAACAGGAAGCATAAAGCAGTAGTTTCACCTTGCTATAGTTTCTGAGGCAGTTTCTAGAATGTTTTGAGTAATTGGTGTATTTAATTGAAACACTAATACGATGACCATAAAATGACACCAATCTCCACCTAGTATAAATCATTTTTTTCTGGTATTATTTATTTAATTTTTCTGCATTATATGACCATGGTGGTGTTTTACTATGTAATTTTATTTTTACCTAAGATTGTGCATAGACAGAATCATATATATACATGATATATATACATGTCATGATATATATGATATATATACATGATATGTCATGATATATGTCATATATATCATGTATATATATATGATTCTGTCTATACATAGGTTTTTTTGTTTTGTTTTATTTTGTTTTTTTTACCAATCTTGGGTTTGAACTCAATGCCTGGATGCTGTCTCTGAACTTGTTTTGTTCAAGGCTAGCTCTCTATCACTTGAGCCACAGCTCCACTTCCAGCTTTTTTGATAGTTTATCGATAATATGAGAGTCTGACTAACTTTCCTGCCTGGTCTAGCTTCAAACTGCAATCCTCAGATCTCAGCTACCTGAATAGTAGGATTATAGGCATGAACCACTGACACGTGGCTGAGGACTAAAATCTTTTAAATAAAATTCATTTTTATTCATTTTTACTCTCACTTACCTTGGTAAAAAAGCTAATGGCTTGAGTATACTAGAGTGTACTAGAGAATCAAATTATAAAGAAATTAGATTTCTAATGCTAAAGGAAACACTCATAATCTCCTTTATCACCTCCACTCACTTTATAAATTGGAAAAACAAACCAAAACCAACCCAGAATAACATTTCTACATTTTAATTAGTGAGATAGGAAGTGTAGACATGTATTCATGTTTTGAAGAAAAAGTAACTGATCTAATAGAATTATATGCTTCCATTAGAAAGTGACATTGCCCCATTGGAAATGGATAGACCTGGAAAAAATTATATTAAGCAAAGCAAGTCAGGCCCAAAGAAAATTAAATTGCTTGGTTTCCCTCATTTGTAATAACTGGAATATGTCTATGATATTCTTAACAGGGATCACTAATTGTTCAGTGCATAGGACCATATATAATGAAGCATATCAAAATTAACTCCAAGAATTGGAAACTAGAGGTTTTTACTGTATCCTGTATGTAGTTATTTCTATTTTTTTTCTGTTTTAGTTTTCTGTACCCTTTGTCTTGTATCTAAGTTTATCATATCCATGGAAGGAAAAGGGAATCACAAACAGCAGGACAAAGGATGAACTAATACAACAATGATACTCGCTAGACACTATGTTGGAAATGAACTATACAACTTGTAGGGAGGAGAGTAGGGAAGGGTAAATAGAAGAAAATGAGGGAGGGGGGTAACAATGTTTAGGAAGAAATGTACTCATTACGTTATTTATGAAACTGTAACTTACCCACCCCCCTTGTTCATCACCTTTACAATAAAGATAAAAAAAAGAAGAAATAACTGATTGACAGGGACAGAGATTGAACAGGAGATGTGGACAGAAAGGGTCTCTGAGGAGGTAACACCAAACAGTCACATAATTAAGACATTCAGATTAATAATAACAAATAGGGATATAATTGAGTTTGCTTCATTTGGAGAAGTATCCCTTCATAATATTCTAAGAAACTGGTTAGAAAAAATTAAGTCCCGACCATTGCTGTACCTAATTGTTTTCCTGATATACTTCTTTTTACAATTGTGACGATATTTACATTGATTGTTGACATGAGAAATAATAAAAACTTACCTATAAGAATTATAAGACTTACAAGTGGCGCTGTGGCTCAGGCGGTGAGTGCTTACCTTGAGCTGAAGAGTGCAGGGACAGTGCCCAAGTCCAGAGTTCAAGCCCCACGACCAACAAAAAAAAAAAAAAAAAAAAAAAAAAATTATAAGACATATACAGAGCCTCTCAAACTCAGACTTAAGTAGTTTTTATTTTTTGGTAACACTGGTGTTTCATCTCAGGACCTCACCTTTCTCAGGCATTAGTAGCTCTTATCACTGGAGCCTCTCCCCCAGTCCTTTTTGCTTTCATTAGTTTTCAGGGGTCATGTACTTTTGCCCAGGGATAGCATTGGACCATATTTTTTCTGTCTATGCCTTCCACACAGCTGGGATTATAGACATTAACCATTATACCCAGCATTTTTGTTTGTTTTTTGTGCCAGTAATGGGGCTTGAACTCTGGGCCTGGACATTGTTCTTGAGCTCTTTTGCTTAAAACTAACACTACCACTTGAGTCACAGCTCCATTTCCAGCATTTTGTAGATAATTGGAGATGAGTCTCAGGGATTTTTTCTGCCTGGTCTGGCTTCAAATACAATCATCAGATCTCAGCCTCCTGAGTAGCTAGGATTATAGGCATGAACCACTGGCACCTAGCAACACAAGCTTTCTGTTGAGATGGGATTTAATTAAATGTAATTTCTATAGTCTACAAACTGTGGGCACAGGTTTCCCTGTTCTCACAATGATGGCTTCTCATTATTGTTCTAATATTTTTGTTATTTCAGTCTAGAGATGCTGGACAAAGTTGAGCCCCCAACTATACCAGAAGGTTATGCCATGTCTGTGGCATTCCACTGTTTGTTAGACCTTGTCCGTGGAATCACCAGTATGATTGAAGGAGAGCTAGGAGAGGTTGAGACAGAAGGTCAGACTATCAATGAAGGAGCTTCTTTGCCGACACAGTCATCAGAGCAGCAGGATTTGCAGTCGGCATCAGACCACATGGATAAAGAAATAGGTATAATTTGATTCTGTAGTTTTTATTATTATTTTTAAATAATTAAAATTTACGGAGAAATAAAAATATTCCCATATACATTCATTCACCTTTACCAGTTAACACCTTACCATATTTATATTATTCTATTAGAGAATATGGTAAATATTTACCATATTTGTATTACTATTCTATTTAATTACATGTCGCTGTCGTTTTTAAGGAACTACTTGAGAATATGCTGGAGACTTGATGCTTTGACCCTTTATTACTTGGTTGTGTAAGGACAGTCTCCTTCTTATCATTAGAAACTGGGATCAGGCCACTATTACTACCTAATCCTACATGTCATTTCAATTTTCTCACTTGCTCCAGTATTGTCCTTGGGGCTCTACTTACTGTCTACCACTTGGACCACCCCTAAACTTTTGCGTGGTTAATCAGAGATAAGAGTTTCATGGACTTTACTATCTGAATTGGCTTCAAGTCACAATTTTGACCATATTCAATCTGCCTTACCCTCTTTGTTCACCTTCTCGTTCTCCCTTCCTACTAGTACCCATATTACAGATAGGATCTGTTTTACATTCCTATCCTTTTTTTTCTGTATATGCTAATAGTCCAAAGGGGTTTCACTGTGCTGTTTTGCACATGTATTTATACTGTATCCTAATTGTTCTTTTCTCACCCCCTTGTTTACTCTTTACCTTTTCATTCCCCATCCCCTATTATTCAACAGCTTACATTAAGGGTTATTTTGCTATCTTTATTCACAGACAGCAGCATTTTTTTTCACTTTAGTTATCATGTGTCAATAATTTAATGTAAATTTACTTCAGTGTAGAACTTGGTTCCTTAGTTTTTGCTTGTTTTCTATTTCAGACTTTTGAAGAGCATGGGCCAATTTGAATTTGTCTTATGTTCCTTCATAATTAGGTTTAATTTATTTTTTTTTTTACAGGATTAGCACAGAAATACTACTGTGTTAACTTAATATATCAACACTTTAGGAAGTAAAATATATTAATGTGATTCATTATTGGGAATGTTCACTTTTACCATTTAGTTAGTTATTTTAGCCTGATTTCTCCAGTGTAAAGTTAAATATTAGCTTTTTGTGATGAAATATAATAAGACTTCTACTCAGTGATTTCCTTATTTATTGTTGTTGTTACATATTTGTACTAATGTAAATTCAATATTATAATGTGGGATTGTCATTATGTAGTTTCCTGCTCAGGTTGACCTTTTACAGATGTCCCCTCTGTTCATTTGATAAGTCCCATGGCCTTTTGATATTCTCTGAGCAATTCCTTACTACTTGGTAGAACATGGTGTTCCAAACTGATCTGGATGTTTCTTGTCTAGCCCAGGTGTCAGTCAATTTTCCAAGGAGCCCTGGAGAATAGTATTGAAACTAACACATGGGCACTAGGTACGCTTCTTGCTACTTGGATAGGCTACACAACACACTCAGACATGTATACACATACATCTATTTCTGTATTAAAAATGTCTATCTCCCTATATTAAATACCATGATGTCAAACCAGATTCTTCATTTCTGGTTTTGTACCACAAGGCTATGTTTTGAGGAGATGGGGGTGGGGGAGAGAACGTGCCAGTCTTAGGACTTGAACTCAAGGCCTGGGTACTGTATCTGAGCTTTTTTGCTCAAGATTAGTGCTCTACCACTTGAACTACCCCTCAACTTTTGGGTGGTTAATCAAAGATAAAGAGTTTCACAGACTTTACTACCTGAATTGGCTTCAAATCACAATCATCAGATCTCAGCCTCCTGAGTAGCTAGGATTATAGGCATGAGCCACCAGTGTGCCTGGCGACACAAGGCTATTTTTAACTTGCATAATCTTACTCCCGTCTCCAACAGTGTGTGTAACTAGTATCCTAAATATCCCTGTTTGTTATACTGCAGCCCACTCTCCTTGCAGCTCACACAGGCAGAAAATTGGCCTATTATAGGGAATTGGAACTAATATGTATCTTTTATGTTTAAAGCTATCAGTTAACTCATATATAGAAAGATTTCAGAATAGATTTCAGAATGCTTTGTAACTTCTTGGATAATTAATCTGTAATATAGCTTTTAAATATTTGAGTGAATTTTACATATTAGAGGGTTAGTATCTAATAATCAAGTTATTCATATGACCAGGAAGATTTTAGGATTTACTATATTGATAAATACTATGTCATCTGTGGTTATCACTAAGTGCTATGTTTTCTCTCTGTCAAGTTAGTAGAGCTGTTTGGGAAGAAATGGTGAATGCTTGCTGGTGTGGTCTTCTAGCTGCACTCTCCCTTCTTCTTGATGCCAGGTATTAAGTCTCTAAATTTTATATCACATCATGGAAGTTAAAAGCAACATAAAAGTGGCTTACTTAACTTTGTCCCAAGAATGTATTTCCTAATACTAGTTTTTTTTTATGTGTACATTTTTACTTGTTTGTAATTGCATCTCTAATGGAATCTGGTGTGATATTTTAATACAGCCATACAATATTTAATGACAAATCAGGAACATTATTTCTCTAGGAATATTATTCTTTTTTTTGCAATCCTTTGATTGCCCCACACACATACCAGAATTGTCTCCTTGATTTATGGAACATATAACTGTCAACATCTTTACAATTTCAAGGCTTACTGTTGTTTTCACAATGTTGGTGAAATGTTGGTGATTATGTTTTCCTTCAGAATTACAGAATTTATTGATTGTAAATGCTTGCTATTTTAACGTGCCGTTAAGTTCTTCATCATTTATTTCAGTAATATACATGCATTGTACATAGTCTTTACCTAGCTCAAAATTTCAGGTCTTATGTCAACTGGTTAAAATTCCTTCTTAAGTATAATAATTTTGACCATAATTTTGAAGATTTTCCTAACGCATATCTAACCTCACAACTTGTTTTATAATATAATTTAAAATAGTCATATTAAATCAAATACCTTATCTTTTCAGCACAGATGAGGCTGCCACTGAAAATATTTTAAAAGCTGAATTGACTATGGCTGCTCTTTGTGGAAGACTGGGTCTTGTAACTTCAAGAGATGCTTTTATAACAGCAATATGCAAAGGCTCTTTGCCTCCACACTACACACTCACTGTATTGAATGCAACCACTGCAGCTACACTTGCCAATAAATGTAAGATTTAAGCTTACACTAGCCTCTTGTCTCAGAGAAAAAATATACAAAGAAAAGAATGTAGTAATTTTGATCCTAGGCCTCTGCTGTTCCATTCATTGACCATTGGTTCTGAATTTCATGACCCTGAATTTCACTTTTATTGTCTTTGTTTTTAAAACATTTGCTTTCAGCTGAGTACCAGTGGTTCATACCTGTGGTCCTTGCCACATCTTGAGATCTAAGGATTTCATTTCAAAGACAGCCTAGGTAGAAAACATTGAGACTTTACCTCCAAAATAACCAGGAAAAAAATCAGGGTTGAGGCAGGCACTGGTGGCTCATCCAGCTACTCGGGAGTATCCTGGTTTTAAAGCCACGCCCAGGCAGGAAAGTCCTGAGTCTCTTATCTCTAATTAACCACCAGAAAACCAGGAGTGGAGCTGTGTCTCAAAGTGATAGAGTGCAAGCCTTGAGCAAAACAGCTCAGAGACAGTGCCCTGACCCTGAATTCAATCCCCACAACTGACAGGGGGGGAAAAAATAGGGATGGAGATAGGTAGTGCACCAGCTGAGTAAACTTGAAGCCCTGAGTTCAAGGTCAAGTTCTAGAAAAGAAAAACAAATAGCTTTCACCTCTTTAAAAGGGGAGAAAGATAATGAAATCAATTTAACATTAATTATGCAAATAAAGCAATACAAATCTGGAAGTCTTTTGTAAGCCATTCTGTTAAAAATTTAGTGGGTTTTTTCTATTTATTCATTTTTAGTGGTAATGAGGTTTGAACTCAGGAACTCACAGTTGGTAGTCAATAGTTCCCTAGAACTGCAGCCCCTCAGCATTATATATTTTATTTTTTTGTGCTGGTACTGGGGCTTGAACCCAGGGCCTAGGCATTGCTCTTGAGCTTCTTTGTTCATAGCTGGCATGTTACCACCTGAGCCACAGCTCCATTTCCAACTTTTTGGTGGTTAATTGAAGATGAGAATCTCAAGGACTTTTCTGCCTGGTCTGGCTTCAAACCACGATCCTCAGATCTCAGCCTCTTTAATAGCTAGTTTTGCAGCTGTGAGCCACTAGCACCGAGCCCCCAACATTATTTTTCAAGCTGAAATTCAGAAATTTATTTCCTTGGTGAATAATTTGGAAACAGTAAGGTTTATTACATGTAATATAAATTTTATCCAATATAATACTGAATTTTCAAGATGAAAATGTATTGGTTTTTAACTTTAACTAGAAAAGTATTCTGAGAATTTGTATCTAAAATATTTCATGAAAAAATATTTAATGTTTCCTAATTATTGCTTTTGAACAAAGTGATTAGGGTTTTATCATTTTCTGCAGTTTATATAGAAAACTACTATTTGATTGTTTTGATTTTTGTACTTGTGAGTTTTCAGAATATTTGCATATATATAAAAGGTATTATTATTACTATTTAAGTGCTGTGGTTGAAATTGATTTAATCAAATTACTGTTTTTAAATAAAGCATCACTTTGAATGAAATGTAAACAGTATATTTGCTTATTTAGGTTTTTTTGTATTCTAGCATATTCTATCCAAGGCCAAAACGTTATGATGATAAGTCCATCAAGTGAGTCTCACCAGCAAGTTGTGGCAGTGGGTCAGCCTCTAGCAGTGCAGCCTCAAGGAACAGTAATGGTAATGTATTTGTTCTTTCCACCCGTTATGTATCAAGGAAAACTTGATATACCCTTTTTTGTGTTTATTTATTTTATTTTGCCTGAAGTGCATTTTTAAGAATGACTAATTATGCTTTTGCTGTTATTAATAACTAATAACAAAATTTTGTCTTTTTTCTTTTCCTCCCCCCCAGTACTGGGTTCACACTTGGTCGCATGCTTGCTAGACAGGTGCTCCACCACTTCAGCCATGCCTCTAGCCCATCAATATAACTTTAATATACTCATTTGTTTTCTAATTTTAAAAAATCTTAGAATGTATTAAAGCTATTTTATATGCTTTTAGTTTTTAAAAATGCATAGCAATTATTTAAAATATCTCCTTTTTAATATAGCTAACTTCCAAAAATATCCAGTGTATGAGGACTCTACTTAACTTGGCTCATTGCCATGGGGCTGTTCTTGGAACATCATGGCAACTTGTCTTGGCAACTCTTCAGGTATGTTAGCCCAGATCAAATGCTAGATTTATAATTACTTACAACTAAACTAGCAATGCCTGATGGTGTTTCAGACACAGCTAGAAATAATAGTAAGTATGCAAAAAGAGAAGTTGGGAAGGAATCATAGTGTAGGAAGGGATGGAGTGAGTCTCTTGATGGCCTAAATTCTTCTTCTCATTCTTGGTAGAATTGTTTCATAGCATTATTATTTACTGATCTTAATTTTTATTGCTGCAAATTATCACTGAATTTACTTTAGTTACTAGAATTTTATAATTTTCTAAATTCCTTGTTTTAATTTTCAGCATCTTGTCTGGATTCTTGGATTAAAGCCTAGTAGTGGTGGTGCCTTGAAACCTGGAAGAGCTGTGGAAGGACCCAGTACAGTAAGTTCCAGTCTTTCTTACCCAGTTAAAGCTTCTGGAAATACCATGTTTCACATTTAATTTTATTCTTTTCTTAGGTTCTGACAACAGCAGTAATGACAGACTTACCAGTGATTTCCAACATACTTTCAAGATTGTTTGAAAGCTCACAGTAAGAGTCAGTTCTTTAAATTAATAGCAACATTATTAACCGTTATGCATTTGAGATGAAAATATCTTATTTCTTTATTTTCATTTTAGGTATCTTGACGATGTATCTTTGCATCATTTAATAAATGCACTTTGTTCCTTATCTCTAGAAGCAATGGATATGGCATATGGAAATAATAAGGTCTGATATTCAACCTTTCTATTTTAATTAGTCATAGAAGGTGAATCCATTATGATCTGAGCATTTTGGAGCTAAACCTCAGTTTAGTTGGTATCAGTAGTCTTGTTATATGTTTACCATTGATGTTTTTTTCAGAAGGGGATGTACAGAGGACATGATTTGACAAGTGTGTGATTTGATTTAAAATTATATCCGTTTTTTTGAGTACTGAAAATTCTTAAAAATATTTTAAAAATAAAGACTATACAGCACAGTATCTATAAGTAGGTTGCATAAAATGTCTTAATATTTGCAATTAAAATTTATGATGGGATAATACAAGATTTAAATTAAGGAATATGTGTCTCAGTTTCTCTTGCCTTCATTGGAATGGAAAATAAGGAGCTAATCATTTCTTTCTGAAGGTAATGATTCTCCTTACATTGAAATTAAACTTTTTCTTTGTTCATTGATTAAATGAATAGAATGGTACTTTTGAGTATTGACATTCAGGAACATTTCTTTCTATACTCAAATATTTTGTATTATGCTTGTAAAAGTATATGATGATTTGGACATATGTATATGTTAGCCAACACTAAAATAAATCCTGAGAGCATATCTCAGTGGTATTTTTCTAGCATGCACTATAAAAACAAAGATAAATACAAATAAATGAACTCCTTCTAAACTGGAGATGTAACTCATTTGTTAAATACTTGTCTAATATTTAAGAGGTCAAAGTTTGGTCCCTGGTCTTGCAGAGAGATAAAATAAAATGCTTTCTATATTTTAAAATAAATATGGCCATTTATAAAAATACAAAGACAGCTTAGGACGGTTAAAAAGCTATAATTTGTTTAATATTTTAATTGTACATATAAAAAATACATTTCTATCTAGTCTTTAATTATAATTGTGTCATTCTCGTTAATGTGACTCATAAGTTACGCTGTTATTTAAGCATATTTTTCATATATTTTCATATGTTGGCTAGATAGTTGTGTAAACATTTAGGAGTTTGGAAATATTTATTATACTTCAAATTTAGACAAGAATGACAAAATTCAGTGAAGTACTCCATTTACCAATATCTTGAATAATCCTACATCTTTGAGATTAATTTTTGACACAAAACTGTGACACTTTTAACAGAGTTGCTCAACAAAATATAAGCATATTTTTATGATAATGTTTTGAGAATGTGTGTATCCATTCAACAAGCACAATATACTTCCTGTGTGCATGACACTGCTAGGAGATAAAAAGAAATAGGAGTTTTCTGCTGGCAAAGAGCTTATAAACTAGTTGGCTGTAGGTAAGTGGCAGTTAATTTAGAGTGAAAGTCTAAATAAAACACATATTATTTGATTTAAGATACTCTGAATCCTTACTTCTTTTTTATGTATGTTTTTAGTATCCATTTCTTTTTTTCTTTTTCTTTTTCTTTTTTTTTTTTTTGTGGTTGGAGACTGAACTCTGGGCCTGGGTACTGTCCCTCAGCTCTTCAGCTCCAGGTTAGCACTCTACCACTTGAGCCACAGTGTCACTTCTGGCTTTTTCTGCTTATGTGGTGCTGAGAAATTGAACCCAAGGCCTCATGCATGCAAGGCAAGCAGTCTACCACTACCTTCTCAGCCCTCTATTAAAATATTTTTATTAAGATGAACTTGTGTGATTGAAACTTAATAATGAAGGAATAAAAGATAGGTAAGAAAACAAGTTCATGGAAATCAAAAGAAAAAAGTGTTCTAAGACATGATCAATGAGAAAAAAATGGATCTTCGGTATTAGTATATAATTTCAAAAATAGGAGCAGATATGATTTTTTTTTTAATATTTAAGTAGTTGTACAAAGGAATGGCCGTTCGGCAAGGCAGTTCATGAATACTGCTCACCTTGATCACTATTACCCCTTTCAACATTCTCACATACCCCTCCCAACCTACTCCTTCTCTTATTTATCTTAATTTTAGTTTATATATTTAATATTTTGGCCTTTTAACAAAGCAGTTTTTGTGTACAATGCATCTTGATCTGTGTAATCACTTCAAAATCTTCAGATGTGATTTTGAAGGGAAGCTTAGAGGAAACAAATGTTTGGAAAGTGAATATACTGAATGGAATAGAGATGGTTTCTTTGGGAGTGGATGTCCACTTTAGGATTTAATTTTATATAATGAAATGGTAAGTATTGAGTGGAAATTGAAATATTCAAGGTAGGCACAAAGTCCTATCCCCACCACAAAAAATAAAAGTATTGTGAAAATATTCAATATAGACTTTTTAAAAATGTTTCTAGGGATGGAAGAGTGGTTCAAATGGTAGAGTGCCTGCCTAGCAAGCATAAATCCTGGAGTTCAATTCCCAGTAATTAACAAAAGAAAAGATATGTAGATACATATGCATACATTCATAGATACATATCTCTCTTATACTATCTGCATATATATGTTATATATATGTATATAATAAGTTCTTTTAAGTGTTATATGTAATTCCTGGGTACACTCTAGTTAAAATGGGTAGGAAAGAAAGAAAGAAGTAATTCTAGACATCATTTGAAATAGATTTCCTGTATGCTGTACATTTCCTGACATAAAATTGTTTCTATACCATTATGTCCATATTATATGTAAAAACATAAATTCAGTAGAGGGCTTATGTAGAGGCTCACTGCTCTAATATTAGCTAATTGAGAGACACATTGGAAGACTGAGATTCCAGGATGTCTAGACAGAAAGTTAGAACACTTTCTCTCTTAAAAATAATCCAGGCGTTATGGTACATACCTGTAATCCCAGCTACTCCAGAGGCAACGATAGGAAATTGCAATCTGAGACTGATTTGGACAAGAGTGTGTGAATCTATTTGAAAAACAAACTAAAGCTAAAGGCCAAGAAGCATGGATTAAGTGGCATTATGCATCAAGTATGAGGCCCTGAGTCCAAAACCTAAATACTAACAATAAAAATAAAAAATTCAATAATAATAGACATTTTCCCAAAGTTACATAACTATTAAGTACTAGGATCAAAATGCATCCCATATAACTAAGATTTCACAGACATCAGTCTTAACAACTATACTAGGTCTGTAGAATCATGAATTTCTCTGCCACCAAAAGTTTTAGGGCACTTACACATTAGCACTTTCAAGAAGGATCAACCTAACCACAATTGTTTAAAACTCGAGTGCACTTAGTCACTGATTTCTACTAGGAAAGATACCAAACATTTCCATATTGGATTTTTATCAGTACTCTTAAAAAAGTTATTTTAAAAGACTTAGATTTAGGCTGGGAGTGTGGCTTAGTGATAGAGCGCTTGCCTAGCATGCATGAAGCCCTGGGTTCAATTCCTCGTACCATATGCACAGAAAAAGCTGGAAGTGGCGCTGTGGCTCAAGTGGTAGAGCACTAGCCTTGAGCAAAAGCTCAGGGACAGTGTACCAGCCCTGAGTTCAAGCACCAGGACTGGCAAAAAAAAAAAAAAAATACTGCTTGTTTTCTGGATATTAACTAATTATATTTTAATTGCAGTAATGTCTTCAAACTGTCTCAGTTTTATTTACAGAGCACTCAGACTTCTTGTAATATCAAAGTACCATATGTTTTCTCCTTAGGAACCATCTCTTTTTGCTGTTGCCAAATTGTTAGAAACTGGTCTGGTTAATATGCACCGAATAGAAATTTTATGGAGACCTCTAACTGGCCATCTACTTGAGGTAAAGGTGTTTCATTAAGTGTTATATTTAATTGTTTTTAGTGATAAAGACATGCACATTGATCTAATGATTTTTAGATAATCAAATTATTAACTATTCCTCCCCTCCCCACTTTGCTGGCCCTGTACTCATATCTTACACTAAAGCTGTATAGCAAATTGTTTTGGTGAGGAATGGGTTGATTTTTATTGGCTGAAAAAGCATGAAGTTTTTTTTTTTTAATGGTACTGGGGTTTGAACTGCTTGCTAGGCAGTTGGTCTACCACCTAAGCCCTCGTTGAAAGTTTTAATGGTTTTTTTTTGTTTTTTTTTGGGGGGGGGGTCCGGTCATGGGGCCTGAACTCTGGGCCTGGGCCTGGGCACTGTCCCTCAGCTCTTCAGCTCAAGGCTAGCGCTCTACCACTTGAGCCACAGCCCCACTTCCAGCTTTTTTCTTTTTGCTTATGTGGTGCTGAGGAATCCAACCCAGGGCCTCAGGCATGCAAAGCAAGCACTCTACTACTGAGCCACCTTCCCAGCCCTGTTTTAATGTTTAATAAGGGGAATAACCTGTTTTTTATCACTAACTGTAAATGGTGACAGGGAATTCCATCTTGATTTGTATTATCTTTTGTTCACTTGGGGTGACTTACTTAGCTTCTACTTAATATCCAGCTTCTGTTTATATATACTTTAGGGTTAGGTTATCACGGTTATGTTATTTTAGAGACCTGAGAAAGATGCTATTCTTAGTAAGGAAAACAGATATGCACAAGTTTTTTCTCCCTATTTACTAGAGTTATATTTATGAGCACTTAGAATAGATATCTTCATTATTAGAATATGGTTTCAGATGACAATGCCCTGATTTTAATCCCTAGTACTGGAACATAAACAATTTTTTAAACACAGGAAAAACAAAACATAATCTTAGTATCACTTTGCTTCTTTTATCTACTCAGATGACATCCTGTACTATTATGAAATCCTTTCTTTTCTGTGACATGTTCAATTTTCTTTTTTTTCTTTTGTCTTCCCTCTATTGCTTTCTCTTGTCTTACCAGAAGGTAAGCTTGATAACATTTTGTATATAGTTTTTCTGTCATATTTTACTCACCTTTTGATAACATTTTTTAATTGTGAAAACAAAAGTGTGGATGCTATATAATTTTTCTTTCTCAAATTAGCATGTGTTTCCTACCCAAGTAAATACTTGCTTTTTATTTAACGTATGCACCTTCAGGTATGCCAGCATCCTAATTCTCGGATGAGAGAATGGGGAGCAGAAGCTCTAACTTCGCTTATTAAAGCAGGACTGACATTCAGCCATGAGCCTCCACTTTCACAGAACCAGGTAAAAACAATTCTTTATAGAAAATCCTCCTCTTCATTTATGAATAGAGGATTTTTCAACCTAATATTCTATTTTATAGGTATGCTATAGCTCCTTCTTCATGGCCTTCATAAGGAAAAATAAACAGTGTGTGACTGATGCTAACTTAAGTTGTTGTGATTGGTCTTCCAGTCTGCATTTTTCTTTATGAAGTACTAGCACTTTATTTTAGGGCATCTTGGACTTTGGTCCTTACCTCTCTGACTTTTTCTTCATACTACCTTACATTGGGAGAAAAACAAGTGATAGAAGAAGCAAGCACAATAAAAATAGATTGTTATTTTAAGATTTTTTTTTCACATTTTCAAAGGTTGCTTTTATCATGAATTCTTTGTATTCACTGTCAGTCACATGTATCTTACGCAGTTTTTTTTTACATTTCTTTTTTTATTTTAATTTTTATTGTGAAAATACTGTACAGAGGGGTTACAATTACATGGGCAAGATAATGAGTACATTTCTTTTTTTTTTTTTTTTTTTTTTGTCGGTCATGGGACTTGAACTCTGGGCCTGGGCGCTGTCCCTCAGCTCTTCAGCTCAAGGCGAGCGCTCTACCACTTGAGCTACAGCGCCACTTCCGGTTTTTTTTCTGGTGGTTTATTGGAGATAGGAGTCTCACAGTCTCTCTTGCCCGGGCTGGCTTTGAACCGTGATCCTCAGATCTCAGCCTCCTGAGTAGCTAGGATTACAGGCGTGAGCCACCAGCGCCCGGCCAATGAGTACATTTCTTATCAAGCGTTGTAGCCTCCTCCTTTGTTTCCCTCTCCCACCCCCTCTTATCCTCCCCCTTCCCCCCTATCTTATGTAGTCTTATGTAGTTCTTAGTCACTAATTTATTGTCTCAGGAATAAGAATGAGGCATTTACTACACATCTTCATTGTCTTTGTCACCTTACTTGTATTATATTCAAGTTCTACAAACTTACTCAACTCATAGTCATTAATTACACTACTAGGACAGTTATAAACATAACAGAAAAGATCTACAAGGGCTTACATTTTAGTGATTTCCTATATTTGTTTTTTTTCTACTGCAATTTGAGGTTTTATTTACCCATAAAACCTCTTTGGTTGATTTAATCATCTCTACAATCTGCCTTAATAGCAAGGACAAAGTGAGAGCTGAATATTTATTTAGTAAGTAAGCAAAAAAAAAAAAAACCTCAAACCTTGGAGGGAATAAAACTGAAATGCTTTTCAGATAGCAAAAGGAAACAGCCAAGTGATGTGTTTACTCTCTCAACTATTTTTGTGGTTTTGTTGACATCTTTGGTAATGCCTATCATTCTTTTTTTTTTTTTTTTCTAGTCATGGGGCCTGAACTCTGGGCCTGGACACTGTCCCTCAGCTCTTCAGCTCAAGGCTAGCGCTCTACCACTTGAGCCTCAGTCCCACTTCCGGCTTTTTCTGCTTATGTGGTGCTGAGGAATTGAACCCAGGGCCTCATGCATGCAAGACAAGCACTCTACCTCTGAGCCACCTTCCCTCAAACCATGCCTGTCATTCTTTAAGCATATAATAATTTTATTTTATCATACTTGAGAGTGTTAACTTTAAATGCATGCAATCTATTTTAGTAAAATAAATGAGAGGTAATTCTAGAAATTAGAAATTGTTCTCTCTCCAATATAGCTACTTACTTTAGTGAGATTCATTTCTGTAGGGGTTAATGTGTAGTAAAGTAACTACACTTTATCCTGAAATTTAATCTCAAAGATTGTTTTTTTTCTGCTCTTAATTTAAAAATTAAATTTACTCTTAATTAAAAATAGCCAGGCACCCTGACTCATGCCTGTAATCCTAGCTACTAAGGAGATTGAGATCTGAGGATGGTGGTTCGAAGCCAGCCCAGGCAGGAATATCTGTTAGACTATTATTTCCAATAAACTACTCAGAAAAAGCCATAAGTGTCACTGTGGCTTACACTTAAGCCACAGAATGCTAGTCATAAGCCAAAGACAGCACCCAGGTCCAGAGGTCAACCTTCAGGACCAGCAAAAAAAACTACATAGATGACAAACCACTAATGATGATGGTTAAAGATCAACTTCTGATGGTTATTGATAGAGGAATCATATTCAATGTTTATTTTAGTCAAAATTGTATTTCTCCTAGTAATATGATGGAGGTAAATTTAAGCAACAAGTACCCAGTGGCAGTGATGAACTCCTAGTTCTTGGGAAGCTAAGGCATATGGGTCAATTTACTGGAGACCAGCCTGAGCACCACAGGGAGACTCTTATCTCAAAAAAAAAAAAAAAAGCTGGGCGCCGGTGGCTCATGCCTATAATCCTAGCTACTCAGGAGACTAAGATCTGAGGATCACAGTTCCAGGACAGGAAAGTCTGTGAGACTCTTATCTCCAATTAACCACCAGAAAATTGGCTGTGTCCAACAAAAATAATAATAATAATAAAAGTAAGAAAGTAAAGAAAACCAACCTTCCTGTCTTTGTTTACTTCTTTTTCTTATCCTCTTTCAGAGGCTGCAGTTGCTTCTATTGAATCCATTAAAAGAGATGTCCAATATTAACCATCCAGATATAAGACTCAAGCAATTAGAATGTGTGTTGCAGATCCTACAAAGCCAGGGAGACAGTCTTGGACCTGGATGGCCATTAGTTCTTGGAGTCATGGGAGCAATCAGAAATGATCAAGGGTAAGTGTTGGAGATTAATATCAAAAAAGTAATAGAAAGCCAGGTACCAGTAACTAATGCCTACAATTGTAGCTACTTGTAAGGATTGTGGGTTGAGGCATCCTAAGCCAAAAAATCTATGAAACCTGTAGTAGAAGAAATGACAGAAAGTTTAAAATAGGCAGATTACCACACAAGTGCACTTCTAGGAGAAAGTGAAACCCTAATAATCAGTACAAGAAAGGTTGGAGGCATGGCTAAGAAAGAGTGCTTTCCAAGCAAGGAAAGGCCTTGAGTTCAAACCCCAGTAATGCCAAATCAAACAGAAAAAGTAATAGTGATAGAAGGGAAATCCATCCTAAAATGTTGCAATAGTGGTTTATTTTGTTTGGTTTTTTCTTTCCGATGTGGGCTTGAACTCTGGGCCTGGGTGCTGCCCCTAAGCTCCTTTTGTTCAAGGCTAGCACATCTACCACTTGAACCACAGGACCACTCTTGTTTTTTTCTGTGATTAATTGACTTTCCTGCCAGGGCAGGCTTCAAACCTCCATCCTCAGATCTCAGCCTCCTGTGTAAGTAAGATTACAAGACATGAGCCACCAGCACCCAGCTAATAGGCTGATAATTTTTTTTTTTTTTTTGTCGGTCATGAGGCTTGAACTTTGGGTCCGAGCACTATCCCATAGCTCTTCAGCTCAAGGCTAGCGCTCTACCACTTGAGCTACAGCGCCACTTCCGTTTTTCTGGTGGTTTATTAAATATAAGAGTTTCATGGACTTTCCTGCCCGGGCTGGCTTTGAACCGCAATCCTCAGATTCAGCCTCCTGAGGAGCTAGGATTACAGGCATGAGCCACCAGTGCCGGCAAGGCTAAATTTTTATGTATATTCTTCCTTTTCAAGTCCAAGATAGGTAGGTAGGAGGTAGGTAGGTAGGTAGGTAGGTAGGTATATATATATATATATATATATATATATATATATATAATTTTTCTTAACTTTCTACCTAATAAATGATTGCAAGGAATTTTTGGTATTAACTTTGCCTTAAAAGGCCAGAGACATTGCTTCTTACTTGACATTTATATTAGAATACAGGGTTCTTACTTATAATAAAAAAATAAACTAAGCTAAGAAATTTATAATGCATTCAAAAACTGGATTTTTATTTTGTTTTAATATTGTTAAAACAAATATTTGGTAAGATATCAAGTAGCATATAGGCCCATAATTCCATATATAGCTTAAAATGACTTTTCATTTTCATTTACTTGTTGAATAAAATTTACTCTGTGCTTAGTATATTCCAAATGTTATGATTACTAGTTATTCTCAGCACACAGATAAATGGCTCCCGCCAAGCAAGGACATTGTTTTTTGGATTTTTTTGTTGTTGTTGGTTGTGGGGCCTGAACTCTGGGCCTAGGCGCTGCCCCTCAGCTCTTTATCTGAAGGCTAGAGTTCTACCACTTGAGCTCCAATGCCACTTGCAGCTTTTTCTGCTTATGTGATGCTGAGCAATCGAACCCAAGGCTTCATACATGCAAGGCAAGCGCTCTACCACTGAGCCACCTTCCCAGCCCCAAAGACATGGTTATATGACACAAAATAAGGCTACAATGGGAAGAAGTGGAACCAAAATAATAAAGGAGCTTATGTAAGCTATTTGGATTTGTCTTGAATACATTTGGGAAGCATTTTCTTATTTTAAGCAGAGGAATGATGTGATCTACTGTGTATTTGACAGCGGCATAAAGGGGAGGGTGGGAATAGAGAAAGCACTCTCTAGAAATAAGAGAGTTGACACTCTGACCAAAAAGACAAATGGCAATTAAAAATAACCCCAATTTCTGACTTGGGCAATTTTGTAGATGGTAGTATCAGTCATTAAAATAGAGAAGACAGAAGGAAAAGCAAATTTGGAGTAAAAGTGTGATCTTGGATTTAATTTAAAAAAAAGATGTAGTAGGCATTGGAAATACATATCTATAATTTTGCAGTAGGAATCACAGTCTTGATATCAACTGTGTGGATTTTAGATGATTGATATGCTTGAGACTATTAAGAACAGTTTTTCCTTAAATCTTTGTAGGAACAAATTTCCTTAAATAGTAAAAATATTAATATGATGAAAGTCAAAAGAAACCAACTTTACACCAACTTGAAATTGCTTGTATATAAAGTAGGATTAAATGAGTTTATATGCGTAAAATACTTAATATATGTCATGCTAAGCATGAAGTAAATGGTGGTTATTATAAAGATCTTTTGTTATTTACAACCAGAATTGTTTTTCAAGACTAAATATTTTCTGTTCTTTTTAAAGTTCAATTTACTTTTACTCAACTATGTTAGAATTTGATACTCCTTTGAAGATAAGGGAAAAATACATATACAGAAGAATGAGGAATTTGCTTTTATGTACTGAGTAATTTGTATATATTAACATGTGCTAAAGTATGATGTCATTTATTAGAGATAGAGTGGAGAGTGCATCCAGTTTTCCTTCTTCATTGTCTTTTCTTTGGTCAGTTGGTGCAAAATACAAATGAAAATCATGCAGTGCTAACACTTACTTTTCCTTTTAAAAATCTATTTTTAGGTACATTCTAGTTACCACAAATGAAAGAAACCATGTTTCTTTAGGTTTGGCTTACTTTGCTTAATATAATTTTTCCAGGTCTTTCCATTTCCTTATGAATGTGCAATATCATTCTTTCTTTTGAAATCTACAAGTAAACACACTGGATGGTAAAAGACAAAAAATAAAAAATACACTGGACATAATAAATAATACAGGTCTCTAGACATTCACACTGTGAGACCAAAGGAAGATATTCTTAGGAGAGTATCAAAAAGGCCCAATAGCTATGTGCATATGGTCATATAAAATAATATTTATTTAAATAACTCCAAGAAATGGAATCAAGAGGTGTTGGGGTTTTTTTTCTATGTTGCTGTTTTTGTTTTCTGTACCTTTTGTCATATTTGTAAATTTATCTTTTGGAATGGGTAAGGGAGAGCACAGGGTGGGACAAAGAGTGAACAAATGAAGCATTGAGACTCACTTCTCACTAGACACTATGTTGAAAATGAACTCTGTAACTTGTGTGTGGGGACAGAAGGGAAAAACTGGAGAAGAGCAAGGGAAGGGGTGACACTGTTCAAAAAGAAATGCACTCATTACCTTACATGTAACTGTAACTCCTCTCTCATCACCTTTACAATAACAATAAAAAAATTTTAAATAGAAAATATAATGTTATATTGAATAAGAAAAAAATCTGTTTTTATTTCTTATTATTTTTGTTTGTTTGAATAGCATCTTTTTTACATTTAAATGATTGTTGAAGTATTAATAGTAGCTGTATTGGGAAGACTGTCCTTGTTAGAATTCTAAAATAAAACTTTGTTCAGTTTAAATTATTTTAAGTTATATATTTTTATGCTTTTTGTTTAAATGTTTCAGTGTGCATTTCTGTTATTTTTTCAGGGAATCTTTGATTCGAACTGCATTTCAGTGTCTTCAGTTGGTTGTAACAGATTTTCTGCCAACAATGCCTTGCACTTGCCTGCAGATAGTTGTAGATGTTGCAGGTAGCTTTGGACTTCATAATCAAGAACTGAATATTAGTTTAACTTCAATAGGTTTATTGGTAAGTATCATTGCTCTTCTTATGAAATTATATTTTAGAAATTACTAATTTAGTGAACTTATAAAGAAATTATTAGTTGACATTAGTGTGAAGATTAACTGGTTTTAAATATTATTTTAATAACATTTTCACAGATTACTTTTTTAGCAGTAAAGCTTGATAAGAGGTATTAAAAGATAGCATATTGTAGTGGAAGAACCTAGACTCGGAAAACAAGTTTTTTTGTTTTGTTTTGTTTTGTTTTTTGTCTTTTTTGGTTCTGGGGATCATACCCATTATGTTGCACTTGCTAGGCAAGGACTATGCCACATAGCTACATCCCATCCCAAAACTTAGGAGCTTGAATTCAGGGCCTAGATGCTGTCCCTGAGTTCTTTCACCAAGGCTAGTGCTTTATCACTTTGAGCCCATAGCGCCACTATGGATATGTTTTGATAATGCTAACTCTAGTTGTTTAATTATTGAACTCTCTTGTGTCTTAGTTTGCATATGTTGAATATAGAGATAACAAAATCTTAGGGTATTGTTAAGAGTATATGAAATAAACATAGAAATATCTATAATGAGTTATATGTATATACATTAAAAGAAAGTTGTTTAGTGCTGGGCACTGGTGGCTCACGCCTGTAATAGTAGCTACTCAGGAGGCTGAGGTCTGAGGATCACGGTTCAAAGCCAGCCCTGGTAGGAAAGTCTGTGAGACGCTTATCTCCAATAAACAACCAGAAAACCAGAAGTGGTGCTGCTCAGGTGGTAGAACATACTTCTTGAGCTGAAGAGCTGAGAGACAGCGCCCAGGCCAGAGTTCAAGCCCCAGGACTGACCCCCCCCCCCCCCCAAAAAAAAAAAAAAAAAGTCGTTTAGAATCTTTTACTCTATGCTCTAACTCAGAAATTTTACAATTTAATTTAATTATTCTCAGAAGCTAGGTAAATTAATATTTTCCTATTAAAAATTAATCATGGTCCAGCTACCAGTGGCTCATGCCTGTAATCTTAGCTACTGAGGAGGCTGAGATCTGAGGATTGTGGGTTGAAGCCATCTCAGGTAGGAAAGTCAGTGAGATTGTTTCCTTCAGTTAACCAACCAAAAACTAGAAGTGGAACCATAGCCAAGTGATAGTGTTAATTTGAGCACAAGACCCAGAACTGGCACAAACAATTTTTTTTTTTTAATTAATCATGGGAGCTGGGAATGTGGCTTAGTGGTAGAGTGCTTGCCTCACATGCATGAAACCCTGGGTTCAATTCCTCAGTACCACATAAACAGAAAAAGCCAAAAGTGGCACTGTGACTTAAGTGGTAGAGTGCTAGCCCTGAGCAAAAGAAACTTAGGGACAGTGCCCAGGCCCCTAGTTCAAACCCTAGGACTGGCAAAAAAAAAATTAATCATGGGAAATGAAACATAAGTACATTCTGTAAAAAATTACCCTCTAAAAATGGTGGTTGGCTAGTTTAATTTTAATTAAATTACTGCTGGATATCAACTCTTTGGTCTTAAATTTATATTGAATCCTCTATATTTTATATTGGCATAATTGTCATTAATTCACACATCACTTAATTGGTTGAGAGTGGTCATAGGTGTATGGTTGAAGATTTTTTTTCTTTTTCTTTTTTTTTTTTGGGGTCCAGTCGTAGGGCCTGAACTCTGGGCCTGGGTGCTGTCCCTCAGCTCTTCAGCTCAAGGCTAGCACTCTACCACTTGAGCCACAGCACCATTTCCAGCTTTTTTCTTTTTGCTTATGTGGTGCTGAGGAATCGAATCCAGGGCCTCAGGCATGCAAGGCAAGCGTTCTACCACTGAGCCACCTTCCCAGCCCCATAAGTTTTTTATTATAAAAATTCTGTACAGAGGGGTTACAGTTACATGAGCAAGGTAATGAGTGCATTTCCTATCAAGCATTGTTGCCTCTTCCTTTGTTTTTCCCCTTCCATCCTTTCCCTCCCACCTCCACAACTACACTTCCTCCCCCCCGCCTAAATTGCAAAGTTCGTTTTCAACATAGTGTCTTGTACATTTCATTGTTACAATGGGTAAACCTGTATCCCTATTTAAACATCCCCTCCCCAAATTAGACCTACATCAAATACAGTGAAAACAGGGGTTATACCATGGGGGAAGAACATACAAAGCAACAACAAAAAAATCACATAGTACCTTATAAATATATTAGAAACAATAGCAAGAAAGAAAAAAAACACTTGTGTCCCTGTCTTGGGGTTCATTTCACTTAACATCATCTTATCTGGTCATATAAACATTATTATTTTTACATGAAATCATAATCTTTGTTAAATGATGTTAAAGAATTACTAATTTTGTTTTGGTGATAATGGTACTGTAGCTATGTGTTCTGTAGTTAACACTTATTGCATCCAGGTAATGTGCATTGAAGTTCATATACTATTCTCCATCTTCTGTGTATGCTTGAGATGTGTTTATATAAAAAATATAAAAGAGAATAAAAGCAGATGATCACAGTTGACTCAATCTGTAATCCTAGCTGCTTAGGAGTCTGAGATCTAAGGATTGTGATTCAAAGCCATCCCAGGCAGACAAAACCTTGAGACTCCTTATCTTGAGATGTGGCTCAAGTGTTAGAGCACCAGCCTTGAGCAAAAAAAGCTAAAGGATAGCTCCCAACCCCCGAATTTAAAGCCCCATTACTGCTACCAATAAAAACACAAGAGTGTTCCTCATATTCAGAGATAATTTCATTGAATCCATTCTAGTAGGAATGCAGTTTCTGTATTAATTTTTTAAAGTTTTACAATGAAAGAGCCATATGTTATTTATTATTATTTAAAACAAAATTTGTAAGATGAAGTGATATATTTCTATTTTTCTTTTAGTGGAATATTTCAGATTATTTTTTCCAAAGAGGGGAAACTATTGAAAAAGAGCTAAATAAAGAAGAAGCAGCACAGCAGAAACAGGCAGAAGAGAAAGGAATGGTTTTAAATCGGCCTTTCCACCCAGCACCACCATTTGATTGTTTGTGGTTATGTCTTTATGCAAAATTGGGTGAACTGTGCGTGGATCCCCGCCCTGCTGTCAGAAAGAGTGCAGGGCAAACTCTGTTTTCTACAATTGGTGCGCATGGAACCTTATTACAACATTCAACTTGGCACACTGTTATTTGGAAGGTATTGTAAAATTGCTTGGCTTTAAGTTGCTTTTATACTTCTAAAAAGAGTTGCCATTTATTTATTTGGGAAAACAAAAATGTTTACTTTATCATGTTTTGAATCATACCCAATTACAGGACTTTTGTGGGTTTTTTTGTCTATGTGGGCTTGAACTTAGGGCCTGGGCACTGTACCTTAGCTTTTTTGCTCCACTAGTGCTCTATCATTTTGAGACATAGTTCCACTTCCAGTTTTCTGGTGATTAATTGGAGATTAGAGTTTTACAGACTTTCCGGACCAGGCTGGCTTTGAATCTCATCCTCAGATTTCAGCCTCCTGAGTAGCTAAGATTACAGCCATGAACCACCAGAACCAGACTAAACAAATTAATTTTCAAGGCCTCATCTCTGTCTTCATCTCTTATTTCTGTCTCAATTTCTGCCAATCCCTCCCCCCATCCCCCAGGAGTTGCCAAACCACTGCTGATAATCAAATCCCTCACAAAAATGTGAAAAGTCTTCTTAATTTATTTTAAGATCTATTTATATATGGGGTATTATAAGCATGTAATTCAAATATAGTCCAATTTAGGATCTATGAAAGACTATGAACTACATTGAAATATCCAATTAGTAAATTAATATGTTCATTCATCAATATAGTCACTTTTTTCTGTTTTTTTCTACAATACTAGGATTTGAACTCATGTCCTCATATTTGCTAGGCAAGCATTCTACCACATAAGCCATAGCTCTAGTGATTCTCTTAAAAATGCTACTTAAAAATCAATAATTTGATGCTGCACTGGTGGCTCACGCTGTAATCCTAGCTACTCTGAAAGCTGAGATCTGAGGATAATGATTCAAAATCAGCCTGGGCTGAAGACTCTTATCTTCAGTAAACTAATCAGAAAAAGCTGGAGGTGGTGCTGTGGCTCAAGTGGTAGAGTTCTAGCCTTGAGCACAAAGAGGCTCTGGGACAGCATGCAGGCCCAGATTTTAAGACCCAAGACTGCCCCCCCCCCAAAAAAAAAAAAAAATCAACAGTTGAAAGAGATACTGTGGCTCATGCCTATAATCCTAGCTACTCAAGAGGTTGAGATTGGAATGATTACAGTTCAGCTAGCTTGGGCAAAAAGTTGGTGAGACCCTACTCCATCTAATGAACAAGCTGGGCACAGTGGTACACACTTGTCATCCCTGCTATTCAGGAGGTATAGTTGGAGAAGCATGGTTTGCAGGCCTGGGGAAAAACTCAGCCTATTACAAAAATAACTAAAGCCAAAATAGCCAGGAGCATGGCGTAAGTAGTAGGGAACCTTTTTAGTAAGCGGGAAGCCCTGAGTTCAAACTCCATTGGAAAAATCCCTATGAGACTCCTGTCTCCAATTAACTTCTCAAAAACCAGAACTGGAGCTGTGACTCAACATGATAGAGTGCTAGTCTTGAGCAAAAGAGCTCAGGGACAGCAGCCAGACCAACATTAAAAAAAAAGTATGGTTACCATTGGATGGGGTTGCGTGAGAGTAAATATATAACTTTTCCCTCTTTGCTTTTAAAAAAAAAAGGGAAAAGAAAAAAAGAAATTTTCTTTTTCTATCTGTTTCATCTTTATAAAATTCTACTTAAAATCCGTTCACTTGTTTTGTAAATATTGTTTAGATCAATAGATTTTCCTTTCAAGGCTGGTGCTTTTCCACCTGAGTCATACTTCCAGGCCAGGGTTCCCCTAAATTGAACAACTGGCAATATAATAAATCTTAACTGTATGTAACAATGAATGTTTCCAACTTAAATCCTAAAATGTTCCCTAATGAAAAATAAGTCCTGTTTCCTTCATTTTATTTTTTTATTTTAAGTAAAAATTAAATCTGTGCATATTTGTAAGTATATACATGTATGTCTACATGTGCTTTTTTTCCTTAATGGTAAAAACCATATTTCTTTTTGTCTTCTATTTTACCTCCCTCTCCTGGCTCCTCTTCAGATCGAAAACATGTTTGTCTCCCTTAGTTTTTTTTTTTTTTTTTTCTTTTTTTTGGGTCCGGTCGTGGGCCTTGAACTCTGGGCCTGGGCACTATCCCTCAGCTCTTCAGCTCAAGGCTAGTGCTCTACCGCTTGAGCCACAGCACCACTCCCGACTTTTTCCTTTTTGCTTATGTGGTGCTGAGGAATCGAACCCAGGGCCTCATGCATGCAAGGCAAGCACTCTACCACTGAGCCACCTTCCCAGCCCCTCCCTTAGTTTTTTTTTAAACTTAGTATTTCCTTTGATTTCCTGCTTCTTTTCAATAGCCTCACTTTCAGTATTCCTGTTGTCTAATTCTCAATGATTTTCTTTTTTGTTCCTCATCTCCCCCACATTTTCTTATCTTTGGAATTTGCAAGATTATTCTATTTCAGGGTCTCTTTTTTTTTGGGTCCAGACGTGGGCCCTGAACTCTGGGCTTGGGCGCAGTCCCTCAACTCTTCAGCTCAAGGCTAGCGCTCTACCACTTGAGCCACAGTGCCACCTCCGGCTTTTTTCTTTTTTGCTTATGTGGTACTGAGGAATCGAACCCAGAGCCTCATGCATGCAAAGCAAGCACTCTACCACTGAGCCACCTTCCCAGCCCCTTTAGAGTCTCTTAAACATCAGAGTGTAAAAGAATGACCTGAAGGACTTGTTAAGGCACAGATTACTGACCGACTACTGTCATTTCTACCTCTACCCACCCTGCTGTCCTGAATTTCTTCTGATTTAGAGTCTAAAATGGAGCTTGAGAATTTGCATTTCTGTCATGTTTCTGGGTGATACTGGTGCTGCTAATTCAGAGAACTCACTTTGAGAGCCACAGAGGGTATTCATAAGTTATAGGTGATCTCCTGATCACAAAATCTTTTAACCTCTGCCCAATTTCATCCTGCACAATTTTTGATAGCAATTTAGCACTGTTAATTCATTTGTCTTAGGAATTTCACTTTTCTTGGCTTTTGTTTCACCAGTATGTCTCTATTTCTCTATTTAGTTTTTTTCTTAGTTATTCCTGAAAGTGTAAACATTTCAATCAATTCTTGCTTGATTTTTTTGGTGGTAGTGGTGATGGTGGTGGTCGTGGGTCTTGAACTCTGGGCTTAGGGACAGTCCCTTCACTCTTCAGATCAAGGCTTGCACTCTACCACTTGAACCACAGCACCACTCACTTCTAGTTTTCTGATGGTTAATTGGAGATAAGAGTGTCATGAACTTTCCTGCCTGTGCCGGCTTTGAACTATGATCCTCAGATCTCGGCCTCCTGAATAGCTAGGATTACAAGTATAAGCCACCAGCGGCTGGCTTTGTTTTTTTTTTCCCAACTGAAAGTTCAATTGTAGCCTCAATTTCGATATTTACCATAATTATATTTTTTGCCTGGACCCTCCCTCTCCTTTGTTTTTGATGATCCATTAATGACTTAGTAAATATTAAATATGTTGTATCCGCTTTATTTACTTGCTCATATTCCCTGACCTAAAGGATAAGCTTAATAATATGTGGTTAGCCTGGCCAATGGTGCTTCATGCCTATAATCCTAGCTACTCAGGAGGATGAGATCTGAGGATTATAGTTCAAAGCTACCTCAGGCAGAAAAATCCCCATGAGACTCTTATCTCCATTTAACTTCTCAAAAACCAGAACTGGAGCTGTGGCTCAAAGTGGTAGAGTGCTTGCTTTGAGCTAAAGAGTTCAGGGATAGCACCCAGGACCTAAGCCCCACGATGACAGAATAAAAAGTATGGTTACCTTTGTTGGCCAAGTTTTTTATATATGTATATATGCACTTTTTTTTTTTTTTTTTTACCAGTCCTGGCGCTTGAACTCAAGGCCTGGGTATTGTCCTGAGCTTCTTTTGCTCAAGGCTAGTACTCTACTGCTTGAGCCACAGTGCCAATTCTGGCTTTTTCTGTATATGAGGTACTGAGTAGTCAAACTCAAGGTTTTATGCATGCTAGGCAAGCACTCTACCACTAAGCCACATTCCCAGCCTGTCAAGTATATATTTTTTCAAAACAACTTCTACTATTTTTTTCATAGCAACTTCTAGTTTGTTATGCTATTAAGCTATTTATCAATACTCTATATATATATGACAATTCTATAAATATTTAGGTACTCTTTCATTTACTGGATCGAGTTCGAGAGTCTTCTACCACTGCAGACAAAGAAAAGATTGAGTCTGGTGGTGGCAATATTCTCATTCATCATTCAAGGGATACAGCAGAGAAGCAATGGGCTGAGACGTGGGTATTAACATTGGCCGGAGTAGCAAGAATCTTCAACACTAGGAGATATTTACTGCAACCTTTAGGTAGGTGTGTATGTATATGCGTGTTTTCCTTTTTGGTTACAGAAACTATTTGTGTTAAAGGAAATTTAGAACATGCAGAAGATTCTTTTTACAATTCACACACAGTGCCACTACCCAAGAACATCAATCTTAACTTACAGACTTTGCATTTATGCATGATGTGTGCAAAAGTATACTAATTTCCATACATTTCACTGAGATAATATTTAATGTATTGTGAACTAGCCTTTAGAGGATACAGTGATGAGCAAAATTCACACTCTCCTTGCAGTGTCCTGACATGAGGGTTGAACTATAATTATATCAATAAATACAAAATTGCTATAATGCTTAATGCTATAGAGCAGTTGGCTCAACTTAAACTTAGAAACTAGAAGTTGTCATGAAAAACATATACTTGACAGACTTCAAGACTTAAGGTAGGTAGGTGCTCATCAAGTAAAGGTAAGATGAAGAGACACCCTTAAACACTGAGATAGAAGACAATGAGAGAATAAGGGTGAGGGACCAGCATGTTTGGAGATCTGGAATGAAGAGACCAGAGAGAAGATACATGCAACTGGGCAGAGGTTATGGTTTTCTCCAAAATTAGTAGAATGTGCCTTATTTTCATACCAGACCCACTTTCAGCATTAACCAAATGCTTTTGTAGTCATTTGGATTTAATCTCTTCTTTAAAAAGAAAAAAAATATCTGGTTATTTTAGCCTTTGGAAAAAGAAAAATCTTTAGATCACTTATTTTACATATCACATATTATACAACCTATTGGTATACTGCTTTAGAATGGCTGTTTTTAGTTATACTTAGGTTATTCTACTGCAAGTGCTGTTAAACTCACTGGGCCTTGAGTGCTATAGGGGGAAAATGTTTTCTCTCTTTTTCTTTTTTTGTTTGCCATTCCTAGGGCTTGAACTCAGGGCCTGGACTCTGTTCCTGAGTTTCTTTTGCTCAAGGCTAGCCCTTTACCACTTGAACCATAGTGCCACATCTGGCTTTTTCTGCGTAGTTTATTGGAGATAACAGTCTCATAGACTTTCCTGCTTGGGCTGGCTTTGAGCTGTGATCCTGAGATCTCACCCTTCTGAGTAATTCTAGCTGTGAGCTACTGGTGCAGAGCTAACAGTTTCTTCTTTTTTTAGTCTAATGGAAATTACACCAAGTCATAGATAGCTTCTTTGTAAGTATTTAGACTGTCAGAGGTGTTAGGCCAGAGACTGACCTGATGAGTAAAGGGAAGCAACTAAACATTCAGCCCATGCTCTGCCCATGGTTCGTTGAGATTCAGATTCACAGGAGAACAGGTACATTGTCCTTTTTTTTTTTTTTTCATTATTGAGATGAGGATCTCAAAAAATGTTTTTGCCCTGACTGGCCTTGCAACCACCATCCACCCAGTCTTAGCCTCCCACTGAGATGATAAGCATGTTCCACTGTATTCAGCTACTGGTTGAAGTAGAGTCCTTGTACCACAATCCTGCCAATTTCTCCCTACTTAGAAGTTAAGATTACAGGTGTGACTAGTTATTCTTTATGGTATATTTGGTCCCTGCTTACTCATTAACTGTTAGGACAAAAATGCTCAAGGAAATTCTGCAACTATTAAATTATTTTAGTAGGAAAAACAAAGTATAAAGTTAGAATTTTATGAAGTATAACATATAATTTCTTTGAAATATTTAGGCACAACTTAACTTTTCTAGTGAGTAGGAACAAGGACACCTAGGGCTGGAGATTGTAGCTCAGTGGTAGAGTACTTACCTAGCATTACCTATCTTTGAGTTCATTTCCCAGTACCACAAAAGGGAGGTTGGGAAGGGAGGGGCCAAGAGAGGTGGGAGGAAGGGAGAGAAAGAACATCTTAATCATTAATAAAGGTATGAATAGACAGAAGTTATTACTGAAAAGCTTTTATTTTGCTAATAGGATTTTTTTTGTTCTCCTTAGGCAGAAGTACTATGAAATAAAAGTATATATAATAAGACAAACATTTATAGAACTTTGTTTTCAGGACAATACATTTATGTATCCATTGTTCTCTTCTTATTGCACTTTCTTGTGACTAAAAATTAAAAAAAAATTATATCTGGCTTGTAATTATTATAGTTCACATTATTAGTACTTCAGTATCTGATAGTATTTTTTTTTTTTTTTGTCAGTTGTGGAGCTTGAATTCATGGCCTAGTTACTGTCCCTGAAACTTTGTGCTCAAGACTAGTGTGCTACCACTTTGAGCCATAGCACCACTTTCTTGTTTTTTTACTCATTTAAAAATCTATGACAATTTAAGTAGAAAATAAAGATTAGAGTTGGTTAAATATTAAGACAGAATTTGGCACTTTAATGCTAATTGATGTTTTTCCTTTTCTTCTTATAGGAGATTTTTCAAGAGCTTGGGATGTTCTTCTTGACCATATACAGTCAGCAGCACTCAGCAAAAACAATGAAGTTTCTCTGGCTGCTCTGAAAAGCTTCCAGGAAATCTTACAGATTGTGTCCCCCGTCAGAGACTCAGATAAGCCTGAGACACCACCTGTAGTTAATGTACCTGTACCTGTTCCTGTCCTTATAGGGTCCTTATCAGGACCTAGCTTGAACAGGCCATTTGTAAGAACAGATTCCATTGGAGAAAGACTTGGAAGATATAGTAGCTCTGAGCCACCTATAGTCACTGATGAGCTGGAAGACCTGAATCTCTGGTGGGCTGCATGGAATACCTGGTACAGAATTGGATCTGAAAGCACAAAGCCTCCTGTTACTTTTGATAAACTGACTTTTATTCCCAGCCAGCCTTTTCTTACAGCTTTAATTCAGATTTTTCCAGCTCTCTACCAGCACATAAAAACTGGCTTCAACATGGATGACTTGCAAAAGTTGGGAGTCATATTGCACAGTGCAGTTTCAGTCCCAATAAGTTCAGATGCTTCTCCTTTCATTCTTCCATCTTACACCGAAGCAGTTCTGACAAGTTTACAGGAAGCTGTGCTTACAGCTTTAGATGTTCTCCAAAAGGTAATGAAATTTTAGTGGCTTCTGAACAATAATGAATAATGTCTTCTGGGTTTTTGGTTTTGTTTTTGTTTTTACTTTGCTATATTTTGGGGGATAGATAAATACTGGATCATCAAGTTTGTTGCTTAGGTATATTTGGGGATCAATTCAGAATTGTGGAGATAGTTACCTTAAAAGCTTGTGATTTTGTAGTATTTCCAAAAAGATAATACAGGTTTATTTTGAGTTTAAGAAGGTGACTGAATCTTCTTATAGTTAACCAACATTTTTGTTTTGTCCACATAGCTATACACAAGAGAATATAATATTTATGATCATAACTTTAGCAAAGCCCTTTGTGACTAGAAAATAAATATTGTATTGTTTCAGTAGTTTTCATATATACTTAAATTTAGTTCTGAAATTTTTGCACGTTTCATCAAACCTGTATCTGCAGAGAAAAAGGGATAAATATGAAAGTATTTTTCTCACAAACGTTTTGAAAGAGATGTGTTTTTAGGTGTGTATGTTTATTATAGCAAAAATAGAAATCATTAAAGCAGTCATTAAAGCAAACAAATGTCGGGATTAAGGAATATAGCTCAGTAGTAGAGTACTTGCCTGGAAGTTATGAGACTGGATTTACTCACCCCAGTACTGCCCAAAACAAAAGAAAACAAAGCCAAAAAAAAAAAAAAAGTAAATGCAGATTAGGAAGCAAGGTGATATCAAAGTAACTTTTTGTAGACTATCAAAGATACTGATTTATAACCATTTAAATACAACAAAAAAGGCAACTGAATAGCCAACCATTGAAACAAAGTACCTATAACAATCTGATAAAATTAGAACTAGAGGGGCTGGGAAGGTGGCTCAGTGGTAGAGTGCTTGCCTTGCATGCCTGAGACCCTGGGTTCAATTCCTCAGTACCACATAAGGAAAAAGCCGGAAGTGGCGCTGTGGCACAAGTGGTAGAGTGCTAGCCTTGAGCTGAAGAGCTGAGGGACAGCGCCCAGGCCCAGAGTTCAGGCCCCACGACTGGACCCAAAAAAAAAAAAATTAGAACTAGATTCGGATCACATATTAAATATAGTAATTTGAGGAATGCAAATCGTGATTTCTAATTAGCTGATTGCTTCATATGCAAGTGGAATGATGAAAATACCCCCAGTAGGAATTATGATATTTCTCTAATCATCATGGTGCTTTTTAATTGCCTCTGGAGATCATCTAGCTAAGGAGTGATTGAACAAATTGCCTTTTATTATTTTTTAAGTCTGTTTTACGGAGCAGAAAACAAATTATAGAGAATCTGGGATGTAGATTTCCACAACTGAAATCAAAGTAACTCTATTTTCAATGGGAAAACAAATACACTCTATCAATATTTGTGCTTCTTCACTTCACCCAATTAGGCTTATAAATAATCATTTATAGACTTCCCTAGAGGAAATGAGAAGGTTTTTTTTGTTTTTTGTTTTGTTTATTATTATTAAGTATAGGCCTTCTTGGGCCTATAACTGTGAGTCTTCCCACAATTGAGAGCCATCATTCACAAGGCGTACACATGTGCACACACATATACATATGAAAAAGACCAATATCCACCTTTATTTTTTTAAGTATAAATTTTGCTTTTAGACAATTCTTCTTTGCTAACAAAAGAATAAGTGGAATTACAGCAGCTACAAGGAACTTATTCTAAGCTTTTTTGTTTTGGGTTCTTGGGTTTGAAATTGAGACCTTAGACTTGCTAAGAATGCAGTCTACCACTTGAGTGACTTCACCAGCCCTTTCTTGCATTGACTATTTTTTATTTATTTTTGGGGGGGGGGGTCCGCTCGTGGGGCCTGAACTCTGGGCCTGGGTATTGTCCCTCAGCTCTTCAGCTCAAGGCTAGCACTCTACCACTTGAGCCACAGCACCACCTCTGGCTTTTTTCTTTTTGCTTATGTGGTGCTGAGGAATCAAACCAAGGGCCTCAGGCATGCAAGGCAAGCGCTCTACCACTGAGCCACCTTTCCATCCCCTTGACTATTTTTTAGATATGGTATGGCTCTTCAGATTTTAAATAGTATGTGTGAATATGTTAAGTATACAGAGCTTCTCTGAAAATTGTTACATACTCTCTTTTAGAAACAGATTAACAGATTTTCATAGATGTTTTGTTTCTCCACTTGTAATGCACATGAGTGTTTGTTCTTGTCAATGGACCAGGCATGGCACAAAGTCAGTTGTCACCAGTGAATGGCACACTTCTTTTTTTTTTGGGGGGGGGGTCTGGTCGTGGGGCCAGGGCGCTGAACTCTGGGCCTGGGCGCTGTCCCTCAGCTCTTCAGCGCAAGGCTAGCGCTCTACCACTTGAGCCACAGCGCCACTTCCGGCTTTTTTCTTTTTGCTTATGTGGTGCTGAGGAATCGAACCCAGGGCCTCAGGCATGCAAGGCAAGCGCTCTACCACTGAGCCACCTTCCCAGCCCCAATGGCACACTTCTTAAGTAGAAGTCAGTGTCGTGTGGGTCATTGACATATTCTTAGTACATAACAGCTTTACTTCTGACGAAGTATTCAGATTGTAGAGCCTCCGGATTGCTGACAACTTCTCTTTAGATTGTTGCTCTTTGCCACTGTGTTAAGGAATAAATCATTTTATTAAAAGGCAGTTTTAGAGCCGGGCACCAGTGGCTCACTCCTGTAATCCTAGCTACTTAGGAGGCTGAGATCTGAAGATCACGGTTCAAAGCCAGCCCAGACAGGAAAGTCCATGAGACTCTCATCTCTTATAAACCACAAGAAAAAAAACCAGAAGTGGTGCTGTGGCTCAAGTGGTAGAGCTTGCCTTGAGCTTTAAGAGTGCAGGGACAGTGCCTAGGCCCAGAGTTCAAGCCCCATGACCAACAATAACAACAACAACAACAACAAAAAAAAGCAGGGCTGGGAAGGTGGCTTAGTGGTAGAGTGCTTGCCTTGCATCCATGAGGCCCTGAGTTTGATTCCTCTGTACCACATAAGCAGAAAAAGCCATAAGGGGCACTGTGGCTCAAGTGATAGAGCGCTAGCCTTGAGCTGAAGAGTTCAGGGACAGCACCCAGGCCCAGAGTTCAGGCCTCACGACCGACCAAAAACAAAAAAAAGCAGTTTTAGTCTATACTTTATTCAGTAATGGTCTACTGTAGTTGGAATGTTTGACATAGAAAAGATGGTGTAATACATGAATTGAGAAACTTAAACATGAACAAAGATCTAAAGATTAGTTGATTAAACAAATGCATATACAGTTAAGAACTGACAGCAGTTCAGCTTGTGCATTCTGATGTTCATATTTTGTTTTGTAGGCCATCTGTGTAGGACCAGAAAACATGCAGATAATGTATCCAGCCATATTTGACCAGTTGCTGGCATTTGTAGAATTTTCCTGTAAACCTCCACAGTATGGACAACTGGAAACAAAGCACATTGCAAATGCAAAATACAACCAGGTACTTGACTATAAACTATATTAATTCTGTAAGACATAATGGCTTGTAAATATAATCAGTTCAACTTACAATTGACATCTCAGAGAAAGATTTTCATTCACAATAAAACATATGGCTGTTGACAATTTAAGCCAAACAAATATTTGATGAATCATTTTTGTGATCCTTTTCTTGCTGCTTATGACTTCTTTTTCTCAAGTAGTCTTCAAAAAATTTGGCTTTTCATGTTACTCTACAGGACGTGTTTCTTGAAAAATAAGTTTCAGTGTACCTCTTCCTTGGCTGTCCCAACACATTGCAAAATGGCTTCGAAATCTCTAATCCCTATCTTACCCAACATAGTTATTTACAGTGCAAGGTTAAGAAATCTGTGTATGCTAAATAACTTGTCCACTACTGGTGTGAAATTTAGTTGGATTCTACATAAAACTTTTTCTAGCCACAGTTGGCAAATTTTTAACTTTATTTTGGTATAGGGGAAAAGTAAATTTCTGTATGCATGTACATGCTTATTTTGTTCACTGAACATAAAAATTATAAATTTATATAGTCCGAAAGGTAGTTTTACTATGTATTAACTTTTCTCATTCTATTTGTCTTGCAACACAATGGAATCACAATAGATCCAACTATTTGCACCGGTGAGTTAAATTTCCTAAAATTGTCCTAACCTATTGGCAACAAATGAGCTACATCTTTCCCAGTTCTTGGTAGACTGTTCTATGTGCATTTTCCCAGTAGTGTTAAATTTTGCCTGGCTGAATTTTTTTTCCATGAAATACATATCTTTTTGAAAACTTTGCATGTAATATAATCTGCCAAAAACCAAGACCTGCATTTGAGACAACGAAGCTTTCCCTTCAGAAACAATATGAATTCCTTTAATCTTATTTATTTTTAACCTCATGTGAAAATATTACTTTCTAGGCGGAATGGGTAGCCTTGAATTATGTACCGTTTGCTGAAAGGTCTTTAGAAGTAGTTGTGGATTTATACCAAAAAACAGCCTGTCATAAAGCCGTGGTGAATGAGAAAGTTCTCCAGAATATTATTAAGGTATCTCTTTCTTTATTGCTATGCTTTTAATTGTGAACATGACAAAATTCTTTAAATTACTGTTTAAGTAATAGCATTATATGAGGATAAGTGAAAAAATATATTATTTATAGTTTTTCTTCAACTTAAGTGAATTGTATTTAACAAGCCCCATTTTAAAATTTTTATTTATTTATTTATTTATTGCTGGTCGTGGGCCTGAACTCTAGGCCTGGGCGCTATCCCTCAACTCTTCAGCTCAAGGCTAGCACTCTACCACTTGAGCCACAGCACCACTTCTGGCTTTTCTTGCGTATGTGGTGCTGAGGAATCGAACCCAGGGCCTCATGCATGCAAGGCAAACACTCTACCACTGATCCACCTTCCCAACCCCCAGGCCCCATTTTTTTTGAATCAGTTTTTTTTTATGAAAAATATTTAGAAATAAATGTGCAGTAGGTTTGAAATTTCGCCATGTAATGACAATCCCGTTTCTTCAGACAGTATTAATCAAAGCAAGGGTTAATTAGCATTCAAAAAGAAGTTCACAATGCAGCCTACCAGTTAAAGCATTACCCTCTAGTACCCTCAGTGATCAAAGATAAAATAAGTCATACTCTCAGATGATCAATTTTATTGCAATATTTGGAGAAAAACTAACTTCATTCAAATATTAAAGTGGAATATAAAATTCAAAGAACTTCAGATATAAAACTTCCAAGTAATGATATTTGAGATTGTGTTTATTCTACCTTAACCTATTACTGGAAAAAGTACAAGTAGTGTTGACCTTTTTGGGACAGAAGAACCTCTTCAACAAAATTACTCTGCAGGGTTTCCTAAATCCTTATTACCAAGTTGAAACACTTGGGGCTGGGAAGATGGCTCAGCGGTACAGTGCTTGCCTTGCATGCATGAGGCCCTGGGTTCGATTCCTTAGTACCACATAAGCAGAAAAAGCTGGAAGTGCCACTGTGGCTCAAGTGGTAGAGCACTAGCCTTGAGCTGAATTGCTCAGGGACAGCGTCCAGCCCCATGACCAATTAAAAAAAAAAAAAAAACAGGACAACAACCAAGTTGAAACACTCAAAATTGTGTTTACTATTCTTCCTGTTGACTTCTCAGATGATGTCCCTTCTTTTTATAATGAAAAACATTAAAAAAAAAAACTTTTAGAAGCTAGAGACAATTTATAAGTTATTATAGTGACATTTCCCTATTTCCTTTCAAGCTAGCTATTACATAGAAACCAGACTGAAACCACACACACACACACACACACACAGTAATAAAAACAATGACAACAATCTTTGAGTCTGAGATGGTAGTCTCCTACGATAGATAGATAGATAGATGGATGGATGGATGGATGGATGGATGGATGGATGGATGTAGAGAGATAGATAGATGTAGAGAGAGAGATAGTCTGAGATGTTAGTCAGTCTCCTACATTAGATAGATAGACAGACAGACGGATGGACTAAGAAATAGGATTTGAGAACCATGTCTGAAAATAGAAAGTAACATCCTTTTCTTTTCTTTTCTTTCTGTTTTTTCCCCGGTCGTGGGGCTTGAACTCTGGGCTTGGGTGCTGTCCCTCAGCTCTTCAGCTGAAGGCGAGCACTCTACCTCTTGAGCCACAGTGTCGCTTCAGGTTTACTAGTAGTTTATTGGAGATAAGAGTCTCATGGCCTTTCCTGCCCCGGCTGGCTTTGAAACGTGATCCTCAGATCTCAGCCTCTTGAGTAGCTAGGATTACAGGCGTGAGCCACTGGTGCCTGGCTATCTTTTTCTTTTTTAATGAAAAAAGAATGCCATTACTTTTGTTTTTAAGTGAAGTTTTATGTATATAATTAATTCTTGCATTGCCTTTATTTTCAGACTCTTAGAGTTCCTCTCAGTTTGAAGTATTCCTGCCCTTCTGAAAGCACATGGAAACTTGCAGTGTCTTCACTCCTCAAAGTTCTTTCTATTGGGCTGCCTGTTGCCCGGCAGCATGCTTCTTCTGGAAAATTTGACAGTATGTGGCCAGAACTTGCCAACACTTTTGAAGACTTTCTGTTTACTAAAAGGTAAGCTCATTCAAGAAGTAACACATCTACAATTTCTCTAAAATCAGTTTTGATCTAGATTTATTAACCAAATAGGCCACTAAATTGTATACAGAACACCCCTAGATGAAGCCTTTAGCTACTGGGGAGATTATTCATGAGCAATGGAGTTTTTTGTTAGTTGCAGTGTTTTTGGCAGTAAGGCAGGAGTCTCAAAGGTTAAGACCATATAAATATATCATAATGAAGAATCTGTGATATAAAATGTAATGAAATTGACAATTCATTTTTTAAAATGTAAGTTCCATGTGACCTTAGAAGAGGAAAATAGTTTTTACAAAATTCTCAACTTAGAAGTGGCACTGTGGCTCAAGTGGTAGAGCAGTAGCCTTGAACTGAAGAGCTCAGGGACAGTGCCTAGGACCAGAGTTCAAGTCCCATGATCAACTGAAAAAAAAAACAAAAAATTCTCAACTTTCATATACATTCTTTAATCCTTTATTTACCCTAATTTATATTTACATAGTCATACAAAAATTCATGGCAGCATTACTCTTAATGGCCAGAAGGTGAAAACAATCTAAATGTTCATCAGCTGATGGGTAAATTAAAATATGCCATCTCCATACAGTAAAAGAATGAAGTATTTATACATGCTATAGCAGATGAACCTTCAAAATGTGATGAGTGGAAGAAACTGGACAAAAAGGCCATGTATTGTATGATCTCATTTATATGATATATTCATAGAAACTGAAAGTAGATGATTTATTCCCAGATTCAGAGAAGGGGGAATGGGACTGGCTTCTAATGGACCCACGGTTTCTTTTGGGGTAATAAAAATGTCAAGTATTTCACTGATTTATTGGAGATACAGATTTGTGAAATTTTCTGCTCCAGCTACCTTCTAACTAATTCTCTAGCTCTCAACCTCTTGAGAAACTAGGATTACAGACTTGAGCCAAAAGCACCCAGCTTTCTTCTGTTCTCGATGGAATGACTTTTTTGCTTAGTTGATTTGAATCAGGCCTTGTCACAGATGTTCTCTATCTTTATCATAAAGAATTTTTATGAATTGTATTTATTACAAATTGATGGTAGGGTTGGCTGCCTCTGAATGAATAATTTAGTGTCTTGTCTGAGACTAAGTTACTGCCAACGTGAGCAAATACAGATATCTCACAGTGGTAATTTTTACTGCAGTTGCAGATAATACACTATCTAACCTTTCACTGTTTTCTATTCATAATACTAAAAGAAGTTGAGTTTATAGGTTGTGTAGTTCAGGATTGGACCAAGAGTTTTCACAGTTGGAGTTTTGTGCTTGTCATTTAGATATTTATACTAAGAACTTTAATTAAAAATAGTCTTCTTTTAAGTAAATGACAACATCCCGACTGGGCATAAAAATAGAATTTGTTTTATCACTTAAATATTCTTGATCTGTTTTCTGTTTATATTTTGAGAATGCTTTACCTTCAAAAATAATGTGTTTTATTTTTTTAGTGTACCTCCAGATAATCTCTCTATTCAAGAGTTTCAAAAAAATGAAAGTATTGATGTTGAGGTAAGATGATTATTTAAAAGACTTAACTGGAGCAGACCTGGTGATGCACACCTATATTCTCGGCTACTTGAAAGGCAGGAATGGAAGGATGGCAATTCAAGGCCAACCCAGGAAACAAAAGTTAGGGAGACAACAAATAAGCCAAGTATGGTATGGTATACCTGTAATTTCAGCTATGTTGGAGACAGGTAGAAGGATTGTAATCTGAGACAGATCCTGGGCCAAACACATGAGACTCTTGCTTGAAAAACAAGCTAAGGCCAAAGGGGCTGGGGCATCCATTACTTGGTAAAGAGCTTGCCTAGGAAGTACAAGGTTCTAAGTTCAATCCCCAGAGCCACTAAAAGAAAAAAAGCCAAGCACTGGTGGCTCACACCTATAATCATAGCTACTCAGGCTGCTGAGATCTGAGGAGCCTGATTCAAAGCCAGCTTGGGCAAGAAAGTCTGTGAAACTCATTTCCAGTTAACCACTAAAAACACTGGCATGGCTTCAGTGGTAGAACACTAGCCTTGAGCAGAAAAGGCTCAGGTACAATTTTTAAGCCCTGAGTTCAAGCCCCAGTACTAACACAGAAGAAAGACCAAAAAATGAAAATCAAATTATAGAAATGCTGAAACTACAAAATTGCTAGGAGAATAAGGTGAAGTTGTGTCTAATAGCTGAGAGCATAGCTGAAGTGATTGAGTGTTTGCCTCAAGAGCAGGAGGCCCTGGGTTCAGTCATAGTACCCAAGAAAAGAACAAAACAAAACAAACAGAAAAACAAAGATTCAACCTATAAGCATTAAAACTATACTGTTTAAGGATGACTTCCTCAGGCTTACAGTTTGTTGTGTACGTGTTGGATAGATAGTTTGGGTTTATTTAATAAGTTTGTTTAGTTAATTGCTTTATTTCTAGAAACTAGGTCTCATTGTTTAGCCTAGGCTTGCCTTCAGGCTAAGATCCCTAGCCTTTCCAGAGCTAGGATTATAGGTGTGCACCACCCCACCCAATTGTATAAATTTTAAAAGCAAGTAGATTATTAAATCTGTCAATCAGTGAGCATGCATCTGAGAGTATTTGTTCAAACCAATTACACAGTTTCCTGGAATTCTTCATTTTTAACAAAACAGAACAAACAGCCCACAGAAGTCTTTAGGCAAATGGTGTTTTGAAAATAATGCAGGGGCTAGGAAGTTGGCTCAGTGGTAGAGTGCTTACCTTGCATGAATGAGGCCCTGGGTTCGATTCCTCAGCATTATATAAGCAGAAAAAGCTAGAAGTGGCGCTGTGGCTCAAGTGGTAGGGTACTAGTCTTGAGCTGAAGAGCTGAGGGACAGCACCCAGGCCCAGAGTTCAAGCCCCACGGCCAACGGAAAAAAAAAAAAAGAAAGAAAAAGAAAAGAATGCATTTTGAGGATTATAAATGAAAATGGAAGAAGCAGTTGTTTTTAACTATGAATTTGGGTTGGAGCTTGAAGATCTGTTGTCTTAAGAGGGGTAGGAGAACTTTAAATCAATCAAATTATTTCAGAGTAAGTATGGGCATTATTGCAGAGATACAAAATATTACCATTTGTGATATTACAGTTTTAAAGCTTATGTCAGCTTAATCACTTTCTTTAGAGGGAAAAATAAACTATATATTAAAAATAAGCTGTTTGGAAATATGAATGTAACTTTCTCTTGTAGCTCATAGTTTCTGTTACAAAGGTGATTTAAATCTTAATTTTATTCTAATATGGGTAAGAATCCTTTGCTGGCTTAGGAACAGAGACTTATCTACTAAATGAGTCAAAGTGAACACCTGTTAGTGTTTTATAGTAAGACCAGGGAAATTCTGTAGATTAGTCATGATTTTGTATAGTAACAGTAAAATGCCCCTGTACTCCTGTCAAGGAAGTTTCTTTAGCTCGTTTACTTTTCAAATAAAATTGAAATTTTACTCTAAAGTGATCACTTGAATCTGTCTGTCTTTATAAGGAAAAGAAGTGTGCTTGAATTTGCCCTTTTATTTTAGGTAGTGCAGCTCATCAGCACAGAGATACTGCCTTATGCCAATTTCATCCCCAAGGAATTTGTTGGTCAGATAATGACTATGCTTAACAAGGGCTCCATACATTCTCAGTCATCTTCATTTACAGGTATGTTATTGCCTTCATCATCTTTTAAGGTATTAAAAATTAGTGAAAGCTGGGTGCCAGTGGCTCACAGATACAATCCTAGCTATTTAAAAGTCTGAGATCTGAGGAGCATGGTTCAAAGCCAGCCCAGATGAGAAAGTCTGTAGGACTCCTATCTCTAGTTAACCAGCAAAATGCTGGAAGTGGAGCTGTGGTAGAGCCTTAAGAGAAGAAGCTAAGGGATGGTGCCAAGGCCCTGATTTCAAGCCCCAGTACTGGTACAAAAACAAAAACAAGTGAAAAAGAAATTAGTGAAGCACTTTTGAAGATGGTAACGTAGAATGTTTAATCCTGCATATAAAGAGACGAGTGAGGTAATTTTTTAAAGAATACAACCATTGTTTTGTATATTTGTATATGTATATTCTGTGGGTATAATCATATTAGCAAACTCTGATTAATAAGATTGAATAGTGCTTAGGAAATCTGCTGACCAAGTTACCAGATTTGTGAAGTGGCTCATCCCTGGAAGGCAATGCAGTAGACTCTGGCTACCTGTATCCTGGTATTGAGTGGTCTCCAAAGAGACCACTAGGAGGAAAAACCACAGGTGCTTAGGATGCACAGTTCATTACTGTACTGTTGGTTCTTAGTTCATTTTTCCTCTAATACCCCAACTTCTGCTAACAGATCTGCCTTTGAGCAGATTCCACATTTTCACCTTAGCACATAAATTAAGCTCATTAACTTTAGCCTGCCTTTTGGGCCACCATTTGTTCTTTGTGAGGGGGCAAGGAACAGTTAGCAAATGACACAATTTAAACATAACTGGCAAGAATGCAGGACTGTCAGACAGCTTCTCTGCGTCACTGAGCTGAGGTTTGAGCATGTGGAAATATAAATTTTTGTTTTTGAAATTTCTTCCCATTTTTTATTTATAACTAAAGGTATATTCTTCTACTTACTATTTTGTTTAACTATTCTTGAATCTGTTTTATAATCTTTAAAATTAAGATATTAATACAAGTGTCTCACAATTATGTTTCAGTTTAGTCCAGTGGTATGAAAATAAGATGTTTTAACATTTGTTAAGTGAACAAGTATTTATTAAACAAAACTGCTGTGTACAAAATATTATGTAACTTCATCCCCAGAATACATCTAATGAGGGTAGATAGCCCCATATTACAGAAAGAAAATATGTTTGGTATAGTGGGAAAAATTGTCTCCAGTCTTGAGGCTAGAGGCAAATTCACACCAAAAGCACTACATGAAATCATGCTAGTTGGGAGGTGATCACTAAGTTATGTTTTATTCTTATTTCTTTTATCTAAATCTTGCTCGAGCCTGAAATGTAATTTGATATTGTAACATGATTTTTTCTGAGATTCTTTTGAAATTACAGATCTATGCAGTGCATATGCTTAATTCTCAGAATTGACTGGAGCCATGACATTTTGTCCTGAGTACTGTAAAGAACATTTACTTGCACAATTTAACCACTAGATGTCTCCCATGCTGCTTATTTTACCTTGCTAGTCTTTTGCCCAGCTCAATTTAAAAAAAAAAAAAAACCACCAAAGAACTGGCCTTTAGAATTAACCAACATGAGAATCTCAGAAAAAAATAGATTTCAGTTTACTTACGTGCAACCTGCTTTGTATTACTACAAACATGCACTCCAGATGTGGTAGCACATGCCTGTAGTGCCAGTACTTGGGTGGCTGAGGCAGGAAGTTCATGACTTAATGACCAGCCTGAGTTATACAGAGATACCCTGTCACCAAAATCTGAATATATTAAAATTTTTGATTGGGTATCATGGCTCACCCCTGTAATCCTAGCTCCACAGAAGGCTAAGATGTGAAGATTGTCAATTGTTTGAAACCAGCCTGGACAGAAAAATTCCATGAGACTCTTATCTCCAATTGACCAGCAAAAAGCCAGAAATGGAGTTGTGGCTAAACTGGTAGAATTACCAGCCTTGAGTGAAAGAGCATGAGGCCTTGAGTTTAAGCTCCAGTGGGGAGGGGGGGGGGGGGGAGAGGGGACGGGCACAGGGAGGAGGAAATATAGGCTAGGGCATGTCAAGTGATAGAGCCCTAGCAAGGGCAAGGCCTTCCCTGAGTTCATATTCCAGCCTTGCCTTGATTTTGGTCTTTCAAGGAAGAAAATTGTTAATTATTTGTATGTTACTAGTTATAATCTATCCATAGATGCCTTTCACCTGATTGAGAATTTCCTTCAATTCCTGGATTGCTAAATGTATTAAGGCTCTTTAATGAGTTAATACATCATCAATAATGATTAACCTTACAGAAGCAGAGATTGATATTCGTCTGAGAGAAGAATTTTCTAAAATGTGTTTTGAGACACTACTCCAGTTTTCCTTCAGTAATAAAGTCACAACACCTCAAGAAGGCTACATGTCACGAATGGCGCTCTCAGTGCTTTTAAAGAGGTCTCAGGACGTACTCCATCGGTACATAGAAGATGAAAGACTAAGTGGTAAATGCCCTCTTCCAAGGTATATATTTTATTTCACCAAAGAAGATAATACATAATATTGTAGTTATTACCAGAGAAAATTCTGAAAACTAAAGTGTTTTCATTAATGATCTAGACCAACCTGAGACTGTTATAATTTTATTACCTTATACAGTAAAATATTCATAGGTTTTGCTGCAGATATGTGGTGCCATTTCAGATTTTTCTCAGAAGTTAAGAAATACATGATATGGTCTGGGAAGATGGCTCAGTGGTAGAGCGCTTGCCTTGCATGCCTGAGGCCCTGGGTTCGATTCCTCAGCACCACATAAGCAGGAAAAAAAAAAGCCGGAAGTGGCTCTGTAGCTCAAGTGGTAGAGTGCTAGCCTTGAGCCAAAGAGCTGAGGGACAGCGCCCAGGCCCAGAGTTCAGGCCCCACGACCGACCAAAAAAAAAAAAAAAAGAAATACATGATATAGGTACCAAATTGCCTTTGTGAATCTGAAAACAATTTAAAGTCAAAATATATCTTTTACTAAAGACTTCTGGATAAGGGTATATGAATCTATATGAGCATATAATTGATTTCTCCTAGGGATCTTGCTATGTCTGCTAATGCTTAATGAAGCCCTTGGGCCTAACTGATTCCTTCGTATCAGTCCAGACTGTATGGTAGGAGCTCCAGGACTTTCTACTTAGCCAAGCCTAATCACAGTTGAGGTGTAGGGCTAGAATTCATCAAAGGATACAGTCATATAGTTGAGTTGACACTTACTTTTAATGTAGAAACTAGAGATTAACTCAAAGTAACTGAAACAAAGTTATCAAAAGCAGAGTAATCTTGATGATTTCCATTTTATAATTTAAACTGGAGGGGCAAATCACTTGCTATATGTCATTGTGTGCATTCTCACTTAATTACTGTGAATTGCTGGAGTTGAACTTGACCTGTCCAAGGATACAGACATTTAAAAACTTTGATATATATTACCAGATTGCCTCCCAAAGATTTCTACCAATTTGTATTTCCCTGGGAACATATGAATACTCTTTCCTCAGTTTTTAGTATTTTTAAAAGTTTGTCATTTATTATCTTTTTCTAATTGGATGAATGGTAAGTCAGACTACTCACTTTTTAAAAAATTGCCAGTAGGACCAGGCACTGGTGGCTCACACCTGTAATCCTAGCACTCAGGAAGCTGAGATCTGAGAATCCCGGTTCAAAGCCAGCTTGGGCAGAAAAGTCCATGAGATTCTGATCTCCAATAAACCACTAGAAACCGGAAGTGGCTCTGTGGCTCAAGAGGTAGAACGTTAGCCTTGAGCTGAAGAGCTGAGGGACAGCGCCCAGGCCCAGAGTTCAAGCCCCACAACCAAAAAAAAAAAAAAAAGCCAGTGGTTATTAGCCATTCGTAATTCTTTCATTAGGATTCAATATATTCTGAATTTCTAAAACAAATTACAGCTCTCCACTTTAAATTTATATGCAAATGCATTCTATAGATGGTGTTGGTAATTTAGTTATAAGCATAATTAAAAGTGAATAAAAGTTAGCTGGGTACCAGTGGCTCAGGAGACTGAGATTTGAAGATCAGGGCTGAAAGCCAGCTGGGCCCGGAAAGTCCATGAGACTCTAATCTCCAATTAACCACCAGAACACCAAAAATGGCACTCTGGCTCAAAGTGGTTGAGTACTAGCCTTAAGCAAAAAAAGCTCAGGGACCTAGGGAAATATCATCATCATCATCATCATCATCATCATCAAAGTTGATTTCTAAAGTGTTCTTGAAAACACAGTAATAAAGTTGCTTTGCATGGATATTTTCAATTAGATTATGACATTTTATTTCAGAAAGTTACTTTTCTGTTTTTTGAGTTCTGATAATTACTGCCTTTAGATTTAGTCCCATTTATAGCTGCCCTGTGAATTTATATTATCCTGAATTCATTGCAGTGTCATTTGTTTTCTTGCTCTCTTTTCTTTTCTTTTCTCTTTTCTTTTCTTTCCTTTCCTTTCTTTGGCAGGTCTAGTACTGGAGTTTTTTGTTTTGTTTTGTTTTTGGGTCTGGTCGTGGGGCCTGAACTCTGGGCCTGGGCGCTGTCCCTCTGCTCTTCAGCTCAAGGCTAGTGCGCTACCACTTGAACCACAGCGCCACTTCTGGCTTTTTTCTTTTTGCTTATGTGGTGCTGAGGAATCGAACCCAGGGCCTCATGCATGCAAGGCAAGCACTCTACCACTGAGCCACCTTCCCAGCCCTAATATTGGAGTTTTAAACTCAGGATTTTATGCTTACTAGGCAAGAACTCTACTACTTGAGCAACACCCCAGTCATGTAATGTTTCAACTGCTTCTTAAATCAATAAAATATGTGCTTACAAAGAAGAGTTGAAGTAATGTTCTATCATACAGACTTTAGAAAAGTCTGATCTAAAACCCAATCCTCCCACACATACATAAAAACAAGTTTTGTCAACAAAATGAAAATAGGGCAAAGGGAATCCTATAGCAGATGAGCTTTTATGTCTGTGAGGAGAAAGAAGAGAATCAAGCTAGTCTTCTGACTCCCCCCCGCCAAGATTATTTCTCTTTTAAATTGTAAAGGTCATGTGCATGGAGGTTATTGTTATGTAATTCAGGAAAAGAATACATTTCTTTTTGAACAATGTCACCTCTTCCCTTGTTTCCAAGATTATTTCTTATTGCTAGCATCTTCAAATAGTGCCATTCTAGAATTGGTCTCTAGCATGTTCATGTTTCTTGTTTGTTGTCTTACAAAATTAAATAATGTATCATTGCAATTTTGGATATACTTTTTTAATGTTTTTTATTGTAAAAATACTGTACAGAGGGGTTACAGTTACATGAGCAAGGTAATGAGTACATTTCCTATGTGTATACTTTTAACAACATAATAAACTGTATGCTGAGTGGTAATATATAGTAATGCTTTCATTTAAATCTTTGGCAAATTCTTTTATTACCAATAAGCAAATAACCCATTGTAGAGTTTTTAAAGGCATATTTTACAAAATGTTTAATTTTAAATAGTTTGTCGAGTATCTTAAAAAATAAATTTATGTTTGGGCTGGGAAGATGGCTCAGTGGTAGAATGCTTGCCTTGCATGCATGAGTCCCTGGGTTCAGTTCCTCAGCATCACTGAAGCAGAAAAAGCTGGAAGTGGTACTGTAGCTCAATGTGGTAGAGAGCTAGCCTTGAGTTGAAGAACTGAGGGACAACACCCAGGCCCAGAATTCAGGCCCCACGACCTACCAAACAAATAAAAAATAAAAATTTTATGTTTGTATGAGTAAATTGTCCCCCTCCTTTAATTAACTTATGGTAAGAATTACAAATAAGATTGTACACTGAAGTACATATACCTTTGCATGTTCTTACAATTGATCTATATTAAATAATTTTTCCTTTTATAAGAATTTTTAAAGTGACAACTTTGCATTGTGCTCAGTATTATTCCAAAATACATCTACTTATACAGACATTGTAAAAATAAGACGTCATGGGGCTGGGAAGTTGGTTCAGTGGCAGAGCACTTGCCTTGCATGCCTGAGGCCCTGGGTTCGATTCCTCAGCACCACATAAGCAAAAAGAAAAAAACAGGAAGTGGTACTGTGGCTCAAGTGGTAGAGCGCTAGCCTTGAGCTGAAGAGCTGAGGGACAGTGCCCAGGCCCAGAGTTCAGACCCCACGACCAGACCCAAAACAACAACAACAACAACAACAAAAAAAAAATAAGATGTCATATTTTATAGGGTTGGGAAGGTGGCTCAGTGGTAGAGCGCTTGCCTTGCATGCATGAGGCCCTGGGTTCGATTCCTCAGCACCACATAAACAGAAAAAGCCGCAAGTGGTGCTGTGGCTCAAGTGGTAGAGCACTAGCCTTGAGCTGAAGAGCTGAGGGACAGTGCCCAGGCCCAGAGTTCAGGCCCCACAACTGACCAAAAAAAAAAAAAAAAGTCATATTTTAAAAATCTCTATTATTTTCCCTTCATTTTTAGGCAGCAAGTAACGGAGATCATATTTGTTTTAAAAGCAGTCAGTACTCTTATTGATTCACTTAAGAAAACACAGCCTGAGAATGGTAAGTGTTTGGAAACTCAGTGATCCTAAAATTCAGAACATTTATGTTCTATTTGTGATGTGCTTTTGTGTTATTATTGACTGAATTTAGGAACATAACAACAAGTAGGCTTTCTTTTCTCCTATTTCTTGACATCAAAACATCAGTCTATTAGTATGACAAGTAAAATTAATTTATAATGTTTATATTTTTATTTTGAACAGTACTTTAGCTGATCTTTTTTTGTTTTTGCCAGTCCTGAGACTTTGAACTCTGACCTTGGGTGTTATCCCTGAGCTTTTGTGCTCAAAATCAATGCTCTACTACTTGAGCCACAGCTCCACTTCTGTTAGTATGGACTAACAAATTGGAGATAAGAGTTTCATAGACTTGGCTGCCCAGGGGAGTGTGACTTTGAATGGTGTTCCTTAGATTTCAGCCTCTTGAGTAGCTAGGATTACAGATTTGAGCCACGAGCTCCTGTCTAGCTATTTTTTTCAAAATCAGTTGAACTGAATTTAGCATGTTGCATGAACAATTTGTATTTAATATATTTTTAATGTAGATCATTCATTTGGAGTGATGAGTGAGGGGAAGGCTTGTAAATATAAGTTGTATTTATAACTTACAGTGTTACAGTTCTTTCTTATTTGTTTTCCCTTTCAGTTTACTCATTCCTGTCTAATCTGTTGTTAACATTTTATTTTTAACAATCTCTATTCCAAGCCACATGTGATGGTGAAAGGAACCTTCACATCCATCCCAGGGGACCACGACTGAGGCAGGCAGGCACAAGAGAAAGATTATTACAAGGTTTATTAGAGGAGCCATATTTCCCCCAGAGAGGGAGCACATGGCACCCTCCACTATCTAGGTAGCAGCAGGGTCTGGGGGTAAGAGTGAGGTATGTGGAAGCTCAAGTGGGTCTGGGCAGAGAGAGGGAGTGGCCAGCTGTGTGGTGGGAATTCTAGGGCTGGGAGAAGCTCAGGTCTGGGTCTAATACTAACATATGGTACATGCCTGTCATCCTAGCACTCAGGAGGCAGAGGCAGGAGGATCATGAGTTTGAGGCCAGCCTAGGCTTTACTGCAAGACCCTGCCTCAAAATAAAATAAATTCAAAAATTAAAAGGTTTTTTTCCCCAAAGTATATCTTCTATTGTTTTCTTCCCCTCAAAAACAGAATAAAAAAATCTTTTTTTTACCATGACCTACCAAATTGCTGAGAGCTGCAGTATTTTATATAATTATATATATGTATATAAAATATATAACTATATATATTTATATATGTACTGCAGTCTAAATATATATGTAGTTTATGTATATATAATATATATAATATTGAAACTATATTATATAAGCTATATATTATATTTTTAACTATATATATAACTATATATGTAGTTTATATATGTGCTACAGTCTAAATATACATATATATGTAGTTTATGTATATATAGTTTAAATAGGTTCTTATTATGTACCCCAGTTTGGGGATCCTCCTGCCTCAGCCTCCCAGATGCTGGAGTTATACATGTGCACCACTCCACCTAACCTAATTGTGTTCTACTCATGGGTTATTTCCTACCAATTTCACTTCCTTGCTTTCCCATTAAACTAAAATTCTCAGTCTTCAAGTTTTCTCAGCTGTGGCCTATGTCTACCTAGTTAAATAGCACTCAGTTTTAAGCCTCGCTTTTGTTTTCTTCAAAGTCTCAAATCATTGAACTCGGGCACTTTTATATATACCTTCATCTTGAAGTACTACTTGTGTGTTCTTAAATATGCACATGACTCATCTCCCCTTACCTTGTATGCTTCCTCAGAGGCTTCTTGGGATGATGCTTTGTTCTGCACTACACTTGTGTTTTTTTCAACCCAAAGACTGAAGGGTGAGAGGTGGAATTGCTAATAAAAAAGGAGGTGCCTGAAGCAGTGCTCTGAATTCATCTATCAGAATTCAGATTTGGATTTTCTTTACAAAATGTTTTGCTTAATGTTTCAGAGAAGGAAAACCATGTTTTGCCTCTCTAGAGACCAGAAAAATCTTTATTAGATTGTAGTATAGGTTTGATTCTTACAAAGGTATTATACTTGCTGGGCCCTGGTGGTTCATGCCTGTAGTACTAGCTCATCTGGAGGCTGAGATCTGAGGACTGCAGTTCAAAGCCAGCCCAAGCAGGAAAGTCCATGATGCTCTGGAAATGGAGCTGTGGCTCAAGTGGTAGAGTGCTTGCTAGCTTTCAGCAAAAGAAGCTCAGCGAGAGTGCCCAGGCCCTGAGTTCAAGCCCCAAGACCAGCACAATATGTGTGTGTACATATGTGTGTACACACATATACATGCATGTATCCATATGTATATATAGTATACATATATATTGTTATATACTATAATATGGTATAGTTACTATATATTATAGTATTATATATTATACTTAAATTGTTCTTCCTATTGTTGAGACATACTACTAAATGTACCTGTATGTTTAAATGTGTAATATTCACAGCTCTGTGTATTCTTTAGACAGCTGTCAGGAACTTACGAGAATATATATAAAAGGAACAACTGGGAAGGAGAACTCAGAACTTTTCTTATAAAGTCAGTGGGTCATGGATAGGGCACTATAGTAATGAGAGATGATCTGACTAAATTGATCTTTCAATTATTTGAGCAAGAACTATGCCTCTGGGCAATTTTAGAAAGGTATGATAAGCTTCACTAAAAAACAAAAAAGACAAGTTAAGAATGTCAGGTCTTCCCAGCAATCCAATATGTTGGATTGCACAAAACCAGTCCAAGCCTAATTCAGAAGACAGGCAATAAGGTCTAGATCAGTATGCCACAAACCTATTCAGAACTTTTAAGTTTTTGTTTGTTTATTGGTTGGTTTGCGGGTCGTGGTGCCTGAACTCTGGGCTTGGGCGCTGTCCCTCAGCTTTTCAGCTCAAGGCCAGTGCTCTACCACTTGAGCTACAGTGCCACCTCTGGCTTTTTCTGCTTATGTGGTGCTGAGGAATCGAACCCAGGACCTCCTGCATGCAAGGCAAGCACCCTACCACTGAGCCACCTTCCCAGCCCCTTGTTTTTGCTTTTGTACTAGGTAAAAAGACTTTAAGAGACTTAGTTTTTATTGAATGAATTTCATTGTTAGAATTTTGCTTGATTTTTAAAGTTTTGAAAATGCAGCTTAAAACACATTAACTGAAAAATACTTTAAAATGTGCATGAAAAAAATTAGTATGATCTTTACTTTTTCTCTATCTGCTTAGTACTTACCTCACAAGAAGCAGCAATTTTATTAGCTGTAACTTCATCTAGAAGTTTATTACATAAACATAAAATTCAGTAAACCTTAGTACTATATACAAGTAAATATGCATAGTTGTCCCCAACTATATTATTGTTTTTCTTTTCACTTAGTAAAATTCATGGATGTTATTCCAAGTCAATATATTCAACTCTTATTCTTTTTGGTAGTTAAATTTAAAGCCCCCACAGAGATTTACAGTCAGGTTTGTTTGTTCTTGTTGTTTATGCTTGTCCTGGAGCTTGGCACTGTCCCTGAGCTATTTTGTTCATAGCTAGTACTTTACTGCTTGAGCCACAGCTCCACTTCTGGCTTTTTGGTAGTTAATTGGAGATAAGAATCTCAAGGACTTTCCTGCTTGTGCTGGCTTTGAACCATACACTTCCTAGCCCCTTTTTTTTTTTTTTTTTGGTTGCGGGGAGGACCAGTACTGGACTAGAACTTGGGCTGGGCGCTATTCTTGACCTTTTGTGCTCAAGGTTAGTGCTCTACCACTTGAGCCACAGCTCCACTTCTGGTTCTTTGGTGGGTAATTGGAGCTTAGAGTCTCAAAGACTTTGCTACCCAGGCTGGCTTCCAACCACAATCCTCAGATCTCAAACTCCTGAGTTGCTAGGATTACAGGCATTAGTCACCAGTGCCTGGCCCACTTTAAGCCTTTTTTCTAGATAAATAGAGATAAGATTCACTCAAATCTGGCTTTGAACCACAATCCTGAGATTGGGCCTCCTGAAAAGCTAGAGATGAGCAACTGGTGCCTAACTATGGTGAAGTTTTTTTTTTTTTTTTTTGGGTCCGGTCGTGGGGCCTGAACTCTGGGCCCTGGGCACTGTCCCTCAGCTCTTCAGCTCAAGGCTAGCGCTCTACCACTTGAGCCACAGCGCCACTTCTGGCTTTTTTCATTTTGCTTATGTGGTGCTGAGGAATTGAACCCAGGGCCTCAGGCATGCAAGGCCAGCACTCTACCACTGAGCCATCTTCCCAGCCCCTATGGTGAAGTTTTGTTGTTGTTGTTGTTGTTTGGTTTTTCAGGGTTTTTTAAAAATAATGTAAGGAATTTGAGTAGCTTTCCTTGAGTTTTATTTCATGTGTCATCTTAATATATTTCTGTGTTCTCCTATAATGAATAAATTGATCAGTTTCCACCTGGGCAATCTAGATAGGGTTTGCTCTATAGATTTTGTGTGAATTAGTGGAAACTTTCACAAAAGACGGCCAGAACAAACTTCTTAACTTTGTAAACCAGTGGTGCTCAGATTTTTTTTTCTTATTGTTATTTTTTGGAAGATTCTTTTGTGATAAGCAGCAATTTTTTTAACAAATCAAATATAATATGGATTCCTAACATATTAAATAGATAAAAGCAGGACAACTCCAGCCTGACATGCCCTGTTCTTACCAAATATTCCCCTTTTCTTCTTCCTGTCACTACCCTAAGGAAGCCCCTCCTGGGAAAAGAAGTTTAATGAAAACATTAGAATTTTCTAAGATAAACTGGGTACTAGTGGCTCATGTTTATATTCCTAGCTACTTAGGACGCTGAGATTTAAGAATTGAGGTTCTGGGCTGGGAAGGTGGCTCAGTGGTAGAGTGCTTGCATTGCATGCATGAGGCCCTAGGTTCAATTCCTCACACATAAGCAGAAAAAGCCATAAGTGGCACTGTGGCTCAAGTGGTAAAGCACTCCCCTTGAGCTAAAGAGCTGAGGGACAGTGCCCAGACCCAGAGTTCAACCCCCATGACCAACAACAACAAAAAAAAAAGAATTGAAGTTCAGAGAGAATCTTAACTCCATTGAACCAGAAGGAAAGCTAGAAGTGGAGATATGGTTCAAATGGTAGGTCTCCAGCCTTGAGCAAAGAAGCCAGACACCTGCACCTGCACCAAAAAAAGAAAAAAAAAGTATTTTCCAAGATCTATGCTAAGAAAAGAATAATAATGAGTAAACTGCATTGAAAAAATTCATAATCATCTCAGTTTTAGAAACCTTGGTTTGAATAAATTTAAATTTTTTTGGTTTTCGTTTTTTTTACTACAAGCCCTTAAGAAATTCATAGGAATTCTTAGTCTCCAAAGGACAAGTATGTGCAACAGCTTCCAGACTTATTAATGAGGAACCTTATCTTTAAGAAATGAGTGACACTGGTTTGGGATGCTCATTCCTTTATATTAGAAGAAATTAAGAAGAAGAAAACAAATATTGACTTACTTAAGGAAAAATTGAGGCACTTGTCACTTAAGTTAGAATGAAAAGTAAGCTTTTACAAATGGAAGGTCATTTAAAACTTATTCTTATCACATTTGTTGGTATTGGTGATTCTGCTCATTGATTATATCTTTGTCCCATACCTTATTAAATATACAGGAAATCTTCCAAAGATTTTTCAAAGATACTAGTTTGTATAATCTTAAATTTTTTCTTTCTGTTGGATTTATGATGGAACTGGATAATCTCTACTGTTTAAATACATCCTGTTTCAAAATTTTGTACTTCTTAACATTACAGTTGATGGAAATACCTGGGCACAAGTAATTGCCTTATACCCCACTTTAGTAGAATGCATCACCTGCTCATCTTCTGAGGTCTGCTCTGCACTTAAAGAGGCCCTAGTTCCCTTTAAGGATTTCATGCAACCACCAGTATCAAAAGTTCAAAATGGAGAATCTTGACCAGCTACAATAGATTTGAAGGAAGAAGAATATCCTATCTGTTCCTGAGTCATCTGTAAGAAGGACACTTCTTACTCCAAACTGATGAAAGGGATGGTTCATACTACAGCATACCTGCTACCCTATCTTCAATTGGTGATTTTAAAGTGAGCTTATGTACAGTTTGTGGTGTATGTGTTAATGATGTACTTTTTAAAAAAAGAAAGATATTTCCATTCAGTCAGATTTATTAGGCTGGTGTTTTTGCACCCTTTTTCAAGTACAAACTTGTACTAAAATTTTATGCAAGATGGTACTGTAACATTCCATATTATCTACAACCAGCCTTTGTAAACAAAGGGAACTGAAATACTTGTGTGTATAATAAATGGTACAGTTCTGTATAAAATAGTTGCATTTATTTAAAATTTTAAAATATTGATGATGTTACATGCTTGAAGCTGTATTTATTATTAATACAAAATTGTTTGCTTACATTGTCACTTATAATTTGCCTTCTTATGCGGCAGAGCCTACCATATCATCATCCAGTTAGCTCCGTGCTTGCTTTGAATGTGTGATTGATTGGTGACCATTAAGCAACTGACCATAAGATTATGGAGCACAGCAACCAGAAGTTTTGCTGGTTGAATATATTACCACCATCTATTATAGCACTACAATGCCATCATACCTCATTTCTTTAAATTTTCTCCAAACTCTCACTGAAGTCTGTCTCTTTTATATTTGCTCTCTAAATTTTAGAGATGTTTCATATTTTATATTTCTACTGATTTCTTCCTGTGACTAACAACATTTGTCTCTCTCTTTGGATTATGACCCAGGCAAGATGATTTTCTGAAATTTTGCCTGTGACATTTTGTTCATTTCAGTGCTTCATTTTGTAATGTCTTCTCAAGAAGAAGAATAACTACTAACTCACAAGAACACACACACACACACACACACACACACACACACACACACACACACACACACACACACACACACACACACAGAGGTAAGGGGGAGAGAGAGAGAGGTAAAGAACAAGGACGTGTATTTTTGGAGACAGCATTTGGAAATGCATTAAATGTATTGTCATGGTGTTTTTGGTTACATTAGCTGATTTATTTCTTCAAAAATTGAATTGACCGTAGATTACTATATTTTTTATGTAATAGATTATGCTGTTATTCCTCTGAGTTAAATTTTCATAATCACCTATTAAAGACAAAGATGTTTAAAACTTTGGTTATAATTATAAATGATCTGGGTGTTATGTTAATGTACTGGAAGGCTTGATTTTAGTAGAACTTACAAAATTCAACCTCTTGAATAATCATAAAACTATAAGAAGATATCAATAATGAATGAGATTTTTGAGGCTATTTTAATTGTGTAATCATTTAATTTGCAGTATTATTTGTTAATGTGTATGTACTAAGGCCTTTTTTGAAGAAATATTTTTATTTACATGAATCAATGAATTTCTATGTTATTATTTCACCTAAGACTAAGGTAATATATGGCATTTCATAATTCTGCTTTCAGCATTTTCCTTAAAGTTTAAAAGAAAAACCACTCAAGCTGTGTATTTAGTTTTTTTCTATGTCAAACTGGAAACTAGAAGCTATAAGTTTCACTGATAAAGTAATGAAGTAAAACAAAGGTAGTATAACATTTCAATAACATGCCCCAAATTTACATGAAATAAAAATATGCTAATCAAAATTATTTCCCTCCAGGAAAAGTTCAATATAGAACATACATTTATATAAACTCAATAGTTTGAGCTAACACTATTAGCTTTCTATTCCAAGATGCCATAGGGTTCAAAAGATACAAATGTGATGACAGTAATAATACAGTAATAAATGTAAAGCATGGTATCTGGCAAATAGACCATCCCCTTGGTAGAGTGTCTGACAAGTTTTTCTTAATGTGTCTCCCACAACCTTCTAGGAGTCACTACTTACAATTCATTCTCTGTGTCAAGAATTCCTATAACCAGCCAGTTGCCAGTGGCTCATGCCTGTAATACTAGCTACTAGGAAGGCCAAGATCTGAGGATAGTGATTCAAAGCCAACCCGGGCCAGAAGAGTTCCAGTTTGAAAAAAGCCAGAAGTAGAAGTGTGGCTCAAGTGGTAATATTCCAGCCTTGAGAGAAAAACACAAGCAACAGCATGAAGCCCTGAGTTCAAGTCCCAGTACACACACACACACACACACACTTCCTTTGCCCTTCAGTTTAGAAAATATGCTGATCCCAGAATACACACAGATACACACACAAACACATACACAGAGAACTCCTGTACCATTCATTTTCTAAAAATATGCTGATTCCAGAGAGATACATTGTTCTTGTTAGTACAAACTGGGCTCTTCAGTAACTAGAAATAGACTTTCTGAAATTACTAGATGAAAGGAGATAGAAGGGAAGCTACCAAAGCTAGGTGCATTCTGTTACAGAATTTAACTAGCTCTTGAACAGTCAGAATAATATTCTCTGAGACATCCTGAATGTACAGTTAGTTTTAAACCTCTTATGATCACTTTTTGTCCCCAGCAGTTCCTGTGTTATATAGATTCCTGTTCGTTTTACCAAGTACATATGTGAGTAACATTATTAAGAGCCTGTGCCAAAGGGAAAAAATAATACTGTATGTCTGGCTTAGAGAGAACTACTTTAAACCTGTTTTTATTTTTACTACATTAAATAGCTAAGGACTGGGTTGTTTCTCAGCTGTCTTACCTGCCCTGTGGCTGTTGAGTGCGTTGTTAAAATATATGCAGCAGGAGAAGCAAGAGATCAACAGTTTAGGAGTACATTTTATCCAAGACAATAACATGCACTTTAAGTAGCAGGCCAGTAGTGAGGTTATTGGTCCTCTCTCATATAATCTTAAATGTATTTTGGTCAGCGTCACATTTTGGTACCACTATTTCATGTAATCATTGAGCCAAAAGTTTCTTAAGAGATTGAGGATAAATCAGCATAAATTATTGAACAATGCTAGAAAACAACTCAAAAGTATATCTCCTATTCATGTAGTGGTTGTTATTACACTCATTACAGTGTGGCAGTGTAATTATTATATAATGACCAGTATAGGCAAATGTAAAATAATTCAGGTGGGCAACCAAGTCCTTAAAGCATTCCTATGTAAAGTCTAGTTAAGGCAAAAGACTTTCAGGAACCAACCTACCTGGGATTGCCATAGAAACTAACAAAATTTGGAAGCTTCAAAATGGATCAATTAGTTTTAGACAATTGTGGATTATAGGGGGAGGTTGTTTCATAGAAAATGACCACAGATGTTGACAAAAATGCTCTTTGAGCAGATCTCTGGTGGCTCACAGAAGCTATTCAGTAGCTACTCAGAAGGCTGAGATCTGAGGACAGAGGTTCAAAGCTAGCTAGAGTAAGAAAAGTCCTTAAGACTCTTATCTCTAGCCACCAAAAAGCCAGAAGTGGTGCATGATAGCTTTGAGAAAAAAAAGCTCAGGGGAAGCACCCAGGCCCTGAGTCCAAACCCCCAACTGAGAAAAAAAAAAAACATGCCAGAGCTGGTGGCTCAAACCTGTAATCCTAGCTATTCAGGAGGCTGTGATCTGTGGATTAAGGTTTGAAGCCAGCCTGGGCAGGAAAGTCTGTGAGACTCATCTCCAGTAAGCCATCTGGAACCCAGAAATGACACTGGCTCAGTGGTAGAGCCTTGAGTAAAAAAGTTTAAGGACAGCATCCAGGCCCTGAGTTCAAGCCCCATGACCAATAACAATAATAGTAAAAATAAAAATAAAGATCTCTTGAAGCATTGCCAGCAGACTAGCATCTTCCTCAGATTCCCTCTTATTGGCTTGTTAGCAGATATATGAATCTATGTAGAATCCTACATTTTACATGCTTAGTGTTTCTGGGCTATGTTTACATTATTGGAGTGAAGTTTTACCTTTTATTCCTTCCCTCATATTTATAAGAACAAAAGTTTATACTAACATGTCTGGTAGTTTTCAATACTTTCCAAGTATCTGAATGAAAATTTTTGTTTCTTTGGAAAGTTGGATGGTGCATTCATTTTGAAGGAAAAGTTTATAGGTCAGAAAGCTAATGTCATTATATCTTGGTTTAATCAAATTTATTATAAATCTAGTAATTTTTTTTCTTTTTTTTTTTTTTTTGTCACTCATGGGGTTTTAACTCTGGGCCTGGGCACTGTCCCTCAGCTCTTCTGCTCAAGGCTAGCGCTCTACCACTTAAGCCACAGCGCCACTTTCAGTTTTCTGGGTGGTTTATTGGAGATAAGAGTCTCACAGACTTTCGTGCCCAGGCTGGCTTTGGACCGGATTCCTCAGATCTCAGCCTCCTGAGTAGGATTGCAGGTGTGAGCCATCAGTGCCTGGTAAATCTAGTAATTTTTAATACAGTAATGCTATTAGCTGTTTAACAGCATGTGGTAACTCTTTATGAATATGAATAATCTTAGTAATCAAGACTAGTTGTAAGCAGTGATAAACTGAGATTCTGCCTCGTATTTAAACATACTAACCTTTCAAAACATATTCCTTCATTTCTGAAACAGACAAGTTACTACTTCTTAAAAGAAATGCACTATTTGATAGCCAGGAGTCATTGGATCACGCCTGTAATCCTAGGTACTCAGGAGGCTGAGATCTGAGGATCACAGTTCAAAGCCAGCATGCACAGGAAACTCTGTGACTTTTATTTCCAATTAACCACCAGAAAACCGGATGTGGCACAAGTGGTAGAACACTCACCTTGAGCAAAAGAAGCTCAAGATAAGAGATAAGAGTCTCACGGACTTTGCTGCCTAGGGTTGGCTTTGAACCATGATTCCTCAGATCTCAGCCTCCTGAGTAGCTAGGATTACAGGCATGAGCCACTGCTCCTGGCTGAGAGGGGTTTTTTTTGTTGTTGTTGTTTTTGTTTTGTTTTGTTTTTTTACTATTTTTCTTCCTTATTCATGGATATCATGAGCCAGTGGCTCACTCCTGTAAACCTAGCTGCTCAGATGGTTCTGATACAGCTGCTCCTGATAGCTGAGGATCACAATTCCAAGCCAGCTCAGGCAAGAAAAGCCTGTTAGACTCTGTCTCCAATTAACTATCACAAAAGCCAGAAGAAGCTCTGTGGCTCAAGTGGTAGACTGTTAGCCTTAAGCATAAAAGGCTCAGGGGCAGTGTCCAGGCCCTGAGTTCAAGCCCTAGGAGTGGCACCAAAAAACAAACAACCTACTTTACTCTCCTGATTTTTATCTTTTCATTCTTATTGTCTGCCTATTTCTGGTCAAATGTTTCTCTGATTGCACTATTTCTTGACGATGACAGAACTGTTAGTGACAGTGTAAATCATCCCAGAAGCCACATCTTAAAATATAGAATATTGGAGTCTTTATTATACAGTTAACAGGCTGCAGGCTGCCAGTTGTTACAAAGGCTTGCCACATGCAAATACACATAACACAGCTAGGA